GACCCTCCCCTGCTCCCACAGACCTCTGTGTGTAACTGTCTATTAATGAGTCTGCCTCCTCAACCAGACCTTAAACTCCTAAGGGCTGGGACTGTATTTCATTCCTCTCTGCACCCTCAAAGCCTGGCACAGGGCCTGGCATATAGCAGGTGTTCAACCAACATTTGTTGACAGAATGGTCTCTAAAGTCCTTGGAGGACAGAATCAAATACTCAGTTTTTCTGATTCTGTCCTCCACAAAGCTCAACACAAACTGTGGGCCAAAACATCGTCCCAGAAGCTGTCCTGAACAGGCCGCTTCAGCTGAAGCACTGTGGCCCTCCCCTCCCCTTCTTTTCTCCTTTCTCAATTTCTTTATTCCCGCCTCCAAATATCCTTCTCGGACTGTGCCAGTCTAAAGCTCTGTTTTGCTTGCTTCAAACTTCAAGACGGGGGTCTTGTAAAGGTGAAATACCAACCAGCCCTCTAGTTTACTTCCCTTTCTGCAAGCAAGTCTGTAGGCCTGGCTTAGGTCTTACCTTAGATTCTCTTGGAAGACCCTGAGATAAGGATTAAAATGAAGAGGTTTACTGGGGAAGTGACTTCAGGGAGCACTGAGAGTGGAGCAAGGAAATGAGACAGGCAAGGGAAAAAAGGCGATATACAGTACTTTAATGAGCAGCACCGCAGTGAGCAACTGAGGCTTGTTCCTCCTAAAGACCCCTGGGAGAGTCTATGGAACACACCTCAGAGTCATCTCCCCCATGAGGAGAGAGAGAGCTGGGGTATTTATCCACCAACTGCCATCCAAAGTTGGTTGAAGACTATTTGAGGGGTACTAGTCTGCCTCATGCACTGGTTGCACACTCTCCTGCAGCCAGAGAAAGCCCTCAGGTGCGTGTAGAAACAAGCCATCAGCTTGGAAGCAATAGTGAGATCTGAGATGATACAGGCAGCAGCACCAACACCTAAAGCGACACGTTCTTAGCCTGATGCCCCAAAGTCTTCCATTCTCTCCTCCCAGTTTGCTCTCTTTGGATTAAACATAACGTTCCCCAGTTGGAAGAGATGTGGTGATCATCTAGGTAAACCAAATCCCTCTCCAGTTCAGAAATCCCCTCTACTACATTCCTGACAAGTGGTTAGTCAGCCTCTGCTTGAATACTGCTAGTGTCGGAGAACTCACTGCTCTAAAAGGCAGCCCACACTGTTGCTGGAATCCTTTTTTCTTTTTTTTAGATTCCATATTTGTCACCTTGTAATTTGCAGCTGTTGGCCTTAGTTCTGCTTTTTGGAGCCCCACAGAATGATTCTCCTCCCCCATTGACAATAGACTTTTTAATAGTTTCTAAAACTATCTGTTATGTTTTCACTATGACTCTTCTCCTCGGGCCCAAATCATCAACTGCGTTTACCACTCTTACAATATGGTCTCTAGACCAGTCGTTCTCAAGTGGGGGAAAATTTGCCTCCAGGGGGACATTTGGCACTGTCTGGAGACATTTTTGGCTGTTACAACTAGCAGGGAGTGCTAGTGGCAACTATGGGTTGTGGCCAGAGATGTTTTGAAGAATCCTACCAGACAGAACAGAGTCCCCACAACAAAGAATTATCTGGCCCCAAATGTCTAAAGTACTAAGGCTGAGAAACGCTGCTCTAGAAACATCATTATGCAGGTGACTCTCCTCTGGACACGCTATGGCTTGTCATATAAAGCACAGTGCTCAGAACTTTACATGTGGTACCCGCAGGGACAGGACCAAAGAGAGCATGAGAGCCTGGGGGTCCTCACTCACTATGACAATGGGAGTGACTGTAGCAGCTGAAGCATCCACCACATACACCCCCTCCTCCGCAGTCTGTGGTCAGGGAAAAGCTCCAGGTCCTACTGAAACAAATGATTAAGAAACAAAAGCAAAGACAAAACATAAATGCAAATCTAGAAGGAAGCAGGGTTCCCTCTGAGCATCTCCACAACCCTTTAATCATGACAAATTGAACGAAGTTCATTTCAGTTTATCTTTTTTACCCTAAAGACATAACTGTAGATCTTCTCTATCAAATTTTTGTCACCTGAAAAATGATAAACTGCCTTTTGTGTTTTCATCCAGGCCACATCAGACAGGACACACTGATGTTGATTCATTTCTTAACACTTTTTGGGTAAGCTTGTGCTGACTAGCTATGAACCCACTTAACTGTAGCTAACCTTTATTTATCTGATCTAAGAAAACACCAGGTCTAGAAGGTATTACTGCTAAGTCCCATCAAACATTCAAGAAATAGTTAATTCCCATTTTATTCAAACTGTTCTAGAAAATGAGGGGCAGAGATGGAGGCACACTTTAGCTTCTTTCATAAAGCTAGTGTAGTTCTAAAACCCAAACCTTTTAAGTACAGTACATGAAAAGAAAATTATAGGAAAATCTCATTAATGAACAAAGATGAAAATTCCTTTAAAAATTACCAAACCGAATCTAGCTTTGAATTTTCTATTTTATAAAGTGACTGAGTTCTGTTTATTCCAGGAACGCAGGATGGTTTCACAGAATCTCTATTAATGTAACTCACTACATTATTAGACTGAAGAGGTGGGAAGGAGTCAGGAACGGACGGACCACAGGCACACAGAGAAATGTTCTTTTTCTGGACTAGCTTTTTCTGTGTAACAAAAAACCACATTTCTGTAATATAAAATAAGCATTTATTTTTCACATATCATGGGGTAAGCTGGGGTCAGCTGGGCAGCTTGGCTTTAAACTGTAGGTCTGTGGGTCAGCTGGGTGACTATATCCATGGACTCTTGTTATTCTTGGACCAGCCGGCTAGCTGTTGCAAGTTCATCTCATGGCAGCACAGAGGACTAAGAGGGCGCACTCAGCAGGACAAACACACTTCAAGCCCCTGCTTGCATAACGTCTGCCATCATCCCATTGGCCAAAGCAACTTGCATGGCTAAGTTCAAAGTCAAGCAATGGGGAAGTCTACTCTGCCTTTTACGGCATGGATACAAGGAGTAGTGAGGAACTGAGGCCAAAGACTTAATATATCACAAGGCATGTGGGTATTTTATTACTTATAACTTTAAATATGACATATGTACACATATTATATATATGCGTATATATGTGCATGTATACATATATAATTTGGTATATACAAAGTATTTTATAATAAAAATCAAATTCACACATTAAGTACACTTTGGGACCCTTCTTATTTACTAGTCTCATAAACTTATTCAAAAAGGAAATTAAGTTAGTTTGGCAGGAGTTATTCTTCATGATCATCTCTTTCATCTTTATTTTTTTCCATTCTTTCAATCTCTTCCAAAAAGGGTTTAAGAGGTTTACAAAGCACTGAGACAAAACAAATGTATAATAAATCAGAAAACAAGCAAAGGAAAAATAAGGTTACTAAAGCAAGATGGAGCTGGAATGACATTAGCACTTGGCTGTACTTTCTCTGTTTGCTCTCTCAATCCTCTTTCCACTCTTCTCTACCTGCTCTATGCTCCTTTAAGGGCTCCCCTGTCTTGGGCTTCTCCTATAGCTACAGGTCCCACTGGGTTCTGATGACCACTCCGTCCTCTTGCTGCTTGAGGCCTAGAGGCTGGTAACACTTCCTGTGAACCATCCCTTGCTGGCTCCCTTAATCCTGCCACATCTTTGTAACTAACTCCTTCATGAGACTCTCCTCACTCAACCCTTTTGAAGGTGCCATGTTTCCTGCCACTGACCTGATTGCAACAGCCCACAAATCACATGTCTTAAGTCTAAATGCCTCCTCGAAGTAGACCATAAATACAGCTCTGAGGTTTCAGTGTGATTATCAACTGAGAAACACAATCAATAAAAAATTCTCCAGTCCCTCGAGAGAAGCAGACCTACTCCTGACACCAAGATGGGCAAGAAATTTTCTCTGTGGTTTCTCAAGGAGAGGTCATTGTGGTATAATGATGTCATTCTTTTATGCTTTACAAACCATCTCTAATTATTCAGGGCTCAGTCCTCAAATATCTTCTCTTCTTAGCCACACTCACTCTCCAGTTGATCTCATCCAGTTTCATGGCTTTAAATGTCACACACATACTGATGACTCCCCAAAGGTATCTCCAGTCCTGACTTTTCCCTGAATTCCCAGTTTTCACTAACCAGTTGCCTAAACTGGATATCCAATAAGCATTTCAAACTCTCGGCATGTCCAAAACAAAACTCCCCATGTTTATTCCATAATCCTTTCTTCCTAATCTTCCCTCATTTCAGTAGAGGGCCCCAGCATGATTCACTTGGTTGCTCAGGGTGTGTGTGGGGGGTGGGGAGGAGGGGGAGTGACAGAAATCCGTCTTCTTTGATTCCTTTTTCTCACACTCCACATTCAATCCATCGGCACATCATGCTGGCTCAGATCTCCAAAATATATCCAGAATCTGATCATTTCTCACCAACTCCATCACTACCACTCTAGCCCAAACAGCCAGTCTCTCTTATACTACTGTATTTGCTCTTGTTTCCCTCCTTGTAACTTGCACTCTTCCAGGGCCCCATCTGAAGCAGCCAGTGTGATCCTTTAAAAATACGTCATAGCATGTCATCTCCTGATCAAAATCCTCCCATCACCTACCATCACACCCAAATGCAGTAGTCTTCCATGGCCTATAAAGCCTTATGTGACCTGGCCCCTGGATACCTGTGCATCTTCAGTTTCTACCATTCTTCTCCCTCCTCCCACCATCCAGTTATACTGACCTCCACAACGTTCTGTGAGTAGGTCAAGTATACATACCACTTGAGGTCTCAGGACCTTTGCACTTGCTGTATCCCCCAACTGAAACACTCTTCTGCAGATATCTACATGCCTCACTCATTTCATTTAGGTCTCTGCTCAAATGGCAACTCCTGAGAGAAGTCTTCCCAGGTCATTTGCTCTAAATAGTCCCAGCATTCCTATTCCTTACTTTACTTTTCTTCATAGCACTAATCAGTACCTGACATTACATTAAACATAAACACATGGTTACGCATTTGTCTTTCCATTTATAACATAAGTGCTAAGAAAAGAGGGGTTTATTTCATTCACTCCAACACCTCTAGTGCCAAGTAAAATACTTAACACATAGCAGGCTCTGGATAAATATTTGTTAAATGAATGAAAGACTCCATTCTAGTTTGTCTAGTTTATTGACTCAAACTCACCAAGATCCAAGAAATATTTCAGCCTCAATTATGTGAGTGGCACTTAGCCAGAGGCTTAGAGCTTTAAAAATCCATCTAACAGTCCCTGACCTGAAGTGTGACCTTTGGGTGAGCAGCTATTAGAAGAGGGCACAAGGGAGCCCTCAGGGTAATAGAAATGTTCTTTATTCTGGAAGTAGGTATATAGGTGTATCCGTAAGTACAAACCTATTTAGCAGTACACTTAAGATGTATTTTAAGTTTCACTGCAATAAATTTTTTTTTTTAAGTTTCCGATCTATCTAGACACATCAACAAGTAGTTTCCATCGTGGTTCGAGCAATGATAGACGTCTGCACGGCCTGCCTGCCAGACGAGCAGCGAGAAAGCCTCTCCAAGTGCAAAGATCGGTAAACCCGTTAAAAGGGAAAGTGGAGGCTGCCTTCCTTCGGACACCAGAACCTCCCAGAGATCAAGGGCCTTCTTCAACGCCCTGGGACCACCTTCTCAATCTGGCGCCCAAGATGAGCGCTCAACTGCTCAAGAATGCTCCACCTGCTGGGGAGCAGATCCCTGAAGAGAGATGAAGCCCGGGGCAAGAGAGAGGAACAATGGGGCAGTCTGTATGCTTCAGATTCTGAACGATGCAGCGTGAAGAGTTGCCCACAGCGTCCACGCGGTTTTGGAGGGGACTGTTAGCCATACAGCCGGCCCCGGAACGTCACAAACCAGCGCACGCGGAGCCCCAGGGCCACAGGCCCCGAGCGCGCACGCGCAGCACAGAGCCTTCGCTACGCAGGCGCACCGCGGCCCTGCGCCAGGCAAAGAGGAGGGCCGGAGACCGCAGGCGGGCGCGCGCTGCCGGGCGCGGGGGAGCGACGGCCGCGCCATGGAACAGCGGTTAGCTGAGTTCCGGGAGGCCCGCAAACGGGCCGGGCAGGCGGCCGAACCGAGCCCTTCGAGGCAGAGCGCACAAACCTCGGGAGAGAAGGCGGAAGCAGCTGCGACTCCAAGGGCAGCCTCAGGCTGGCTAAAACGGTTTCTGGGGTGGAAACCGAGGCCCGCGAGTGCCCAGACCCAGCCCAGCGTCGCTCAGGTGAGAGAACGAAAGCCTCGGCCCGAGACGGGGCCTCAGCGCCGCAGTCGTGAACTCTCCGGAAACTCCAGTCGAGGCCCCGCCCACCACGTGGTGACGCTCAGGCCCCGCCCACCATGTGACTGCCTTCTAGCCACGCCCCCTCCTCTGGTTCCCGGCGGGGCCGGGGCTGCGGGCGCCTCCGGCCGCTCGGGGGCGGGGCCTCGCGTGTCCTAGCCCTCGTGTCAGCGCTGATAACGTGGCTTTGACATTTTCTTTCCAGTGTGGAGCCCACGCAGGTCCTGTTTCCAGGCGGGAAGCGAGGGTCTAAGGTCCTGGAAGAAAGCACTCCTGCCCTTGAGTGATTCACAGCGAGCTGAGTTATCGTGACGCCCTGTGGCTTTCCACAGCCGTGCCGAGCCACAGCCCTCTGCTAATGGAGGGGAAAAGGTCTAATTGGATACTCATAAAAAGTGGCCGTAATTAAGGCTTGCATTTGATTTCGCACCTGGGCCACATGCAGCCAGTAGACCAAATAGCCTGTGCTTTAGAAATAGAAAACTTGTATTCAAACTAGCGTTTGAATGCAAAACTTGCAAAAGTGTGGCACCTGTAACTGCCAGTGGTGGCATATGCCTATTGTGCGTCACTGTTGAACTAGAGAAGCTTATTCAAGGTCAATAAGGAATATCCAAGGCGGAATCAATATTTAGATTAGTATGATAGTCTTTTTACCCTTTAATTCTTTGGTAATCTCTTATTTTGCTGATAAACTTAGCATCTCTTGGTAACTTCATTTAGTTTTCATTCAGGAGTAAAAAGGCAAGGTGGCTTGCATGTGAGATTGGAGCCGTGTGGGAATACAGGACAAAACATTAACGGAAAATCAGTGCTTTGAGACAATCTGTGACAAGGCTTTTTTACCTCAAAAGTGTAATAAGAGCCAAAAATTCCTTTTAAAAATTAAAAGGTACTGGAGCAGAAGTGTGCTTTACGCCTCTTAAAGTTATTTCTCTTCAGTTTATTTATTATCGCACAACGTCTGGTTTTGGGGGATTTTTTTAAATCAAGGAGAACTTTTTGTTTCTCAGTTTTGATTAGATATTTTTCTCCATGACACGAAAGGTTCCTTTATTCTCCATGACACGAAAGGTTCCAGCTGACTTGCAGAAACAGTGTGGCAGGATTCAGACAATCGGTTTCCTTGCGGGCAGTCTGTCTCAGGATAACTTTGTTGTTGATTAGAACTCACTGAGCACAGTTGCTTGAGATTTTAGAATCCACTTCCCCTACCCTTTTTCCTCCCCACAGTTAGAATACAATGTGTAACCCACACAATGGGTTTTGACTGTATATCTCATTTCCAAAGAAATACGAGATTACTGAGGTGGACCCAGAGAAGCCAAACTTGGAGAAAGCTTCCATGGTTAAAAACCCAAAAGCTGATGCCCTGGCAAAAGGATGAGAGAAGTGCTGGACCTCCAGTTGCTTCTTATTAATCACTCTGTTTTTCATAAGGGACTCTGTTTTAAGCTCATTGTCATGGACTTGGTTATCATTCCTGGGTTTGCTCTGATGTGAAATTTCTCATTAAATTCTTTTTTTTCTAATTTGCAATCCATCTCTACCTAATAATTTTGGTGGCTTGCCAGAGATTTCTTTAGCCTTCTTTTTGTAATTGCTTCTTTTCAGGAGTCATTGATAAGGAAGCATCCACATCCCCCTTCCTCCACGCTCAAATTTAGCTTGGGGAAAAGCAGTCCCTCAAATAAAATATTTCTTCCTGTGACAAGCTTCTACTACATTAGGACAAAAATGCTTGTAACTTTTTTTAATCCTGCAGAAACCCCCCGTCTCCCTCCCCAAGCATATCCCACACCAGCCCCCAGTGCAACATGTCGTCCCAGGGTCCACTGCCCACACTCATCCTGCAGCTCCTCACCTCCAGGCCTGGGCGCAGGTTGGCCCACAGCTCAGTGCTCTCCTTCTCTGGAGTCACCTGGCTAAGCACAGCCTTTGCATCACCCCCTCAAAGCCAGGGGTCATCTTTTAATTTCTTCCTGTCCTTCACCATCATGTGTTCATTCAACAAAATCCTTTCATGTACCCGCTGTGTTCCAGCTCCTGTCCTAAATCCAAGGAGAAAGTGTAATACAGACAGATAAAGCCCTCCTCTCACAGGTCTTGCATTTGAATTTGAAGAGGCAGGGACAGCAGCCAATAAACAAAGGAGCAGAAGGATGAATGCTGTGAAAGGGGAAGAAAACCAGGCTAGTGTGATAGTGAATTGGGAGGTGGGTGCAGAGTGCTACTTTAAATGGTGTGGGCAGGGAGGACCTCCCTGAGGAGGTGACATTTCATAGGAAGGAGCCATTCTTGCAGAAACCTGGGGACAAGGTGAAGGGCACATGTGATGACATTTTTGCTGAGGTTTGTAGAAGAGGGAGCCAGCCAGGTGACATGAGGGGGAGGGGACATTCCTCCCAGAGGGAACCACAAGTGCAAAGGCCCTGAGGTGGGAAGCAGGTTGGTATTTGAGGAATGAAAGTATCTTCCTTAAACTATGCCCAGATGTGCTGTGACAACCACAACACTTCCACACACAGCTTTCCCAGCAGAAGGTGCACTGGCACCAAAGCAAATGCCAAGTGAGGCAGAGGAATTCCCACATCCCTTCTCTCCCTTGTTTGTTCTCTGTGCCAGTTCATTTACCCCCTTCCCCCACCCCATCTCCTTCTAGCTCTCTAACCCTTCCCTTGCCATCCCCCATGAAGACCCCTAATCAAGTACAAAGAGCCTTGGAGGGAGACCATCCCAGGATCCTAGACCAACCTCATTTCTGCCTATCGCTAGCTCTGTGACTTTAGAGAAATTAATGTCTCAATGTTTCCTTATCAGTAAATTGGGAATAATAACACCTGCCTCCTGGGTTACAGGAGCTCAGGTGTCTTGAAGGCGCTCAATAAGTGGTGGCCATAAGCATTATTCTTTTTATACTCCCTCAATAATAAAATAAATTCAGTTTACTGTGAATTTCAAGTCATACACATTCAAAATGTATTCTGTATCCATCAACCCATCATTTCTCTCCAACTTGTGTGTCACCACCCTAGTCTATGCCTGGTCCTCTCTTTCTGGGCCTCTGGCAGGAGCTACTAGCAATTTTCCTGCTTCTGCTCTTGCAGCCCATTTCTCTCCGTGGCAGCCAGAGTAGTCTTAAATATCAATCCGATCGTATTAGTTCCCTGCTAAGACCTGCAGTGATTTCCTCTTATGCACACTGGTCCAATCTGAAAGGGACGTTTATTTATTTAGTAAATGTATGTGTCCTGGGGTTGGGGGGGGGAGTGTTGCTGATGATATGTTAAGGGCCTTTCCAATCTAACTGAAAAGGTAATAATTACAATGTTGGTGCTAAAAAAGGAGGTTCTAACAAAATAGAATTTCTGAAGCAACATAAATCAAATTACCTGTATTTTTTATTGAGACCAAATGATATTTGTTGTCCCCTTTTAAATGATCATGTGAAGAGCAGGGGATATAACTGAAGAAATGAACCAAAAGCTCTGCATTGAGAACCTCTGTGTGGGGTGCTGTGTTTGGCTCTGGAGACACCAAAAGATAATAAATGGCAGTCCATGGCTTCATGGTAACAATCTAGGGACATTTGTGACCTATATTAAAAGAGCGAGACTTCAGTGCTGAATAGTTTGGTGCTCAACGAGAAAGAGTGCCAGTTAGTGCTCCAGGAGGCAGAGGGGGCGCCCTCCTTGATGGCCGAGGAGGTCAGGGCATCCACAATTCACTGGTCGTGCTTTCTTGGAAGGAAGTCAAGGAGCTGGGGAGAGGAGAAGAAGCAGAGGGTATTCCAGGCCGAAGCTGGCAATGGCTTTGGGTAGAAAGCCCAGTTGAACTGCATAGAGGGTTCATGTGTCGAGCAATACATTGTGGATTGTGTTGTACAGGAAAAATTGTAGACTATTGTTTTGCAAACTGCAAGTCATGACCCATTAGTGGGTGGTGAAATCAATTTAGTTTAAAGTTTAAAAAATAGAAGAGAAAATGAGAGCTTCATATAGTGAAGGTATTTGTTGATTTGTGAAAGTTTTTTTTTCTGTTACACATATATATGCTGGCTCATAGTACAAAATGTATTTCTTATTGTGGGTCATACCCAAAAAAGTTTGGAAGATACTGGACTACAGATCAAGCTCCCTAAAGCTACCTAAATACCTGTGTCTCCCATTAGCACCCAGTGCAGAGGCCAATGTCCTGGCATTTCTGTCTGCTGAGTAAATGGAAAGCCTTGGATTCCAGCCCAAGGAGTTTAAATTTTAACCTGCAGGCAATAAAAATGTGTTGAAGGTTTGTGAGCAGGAGGTTGATGGGCGTCTTAGGAGATTCATTTAGCAGCCGTACTATGGTTTGGGGAGGGAGGCGGGAGGAGGCCGGGAGTCTAGTTAGGAAACACTGCCTGGGTCTGCGGGGAGTAGGATGGTCACAGAGGATGGAGAAGTTGTGGCTATAACAGTGATTTTTTTCTTTTTTATTATGTGGAAGGGATTTTTGTTTCCTGTTTCTGGTATAGTCCTCATTTTAGAATCATGTCACTCACAGAATTTTAGCTCATCTAATCAAATCAACAAACATATCGATTCTGTGTGCAAAGCATACGCATGGCTGTCGCATGATCAGTTACTGAGGAGCTTCTGTATGGGGCACAAATTAGCTCTTGTTAGCAGCAGACTAATCTGAGGAAATGTCTCCCGTGAATGGGAATCCATTTGAATAGTGTAAGGTTTTTATTGGGTCGCATCTCACTAAGTGCTGATCAGTTTTGATTCAGTCAGAACAGGGCGCATGAGCTCCTTGGAGATGATTGTTTTAGAGAGCAGGGCAGGAAAATAGAAATCAATGAGCCGGAAGCCTTCCCAGAGCGCTGAGAGCTGCCTCTCTACACTGGTTCTCAATCTCTCAGCCCCATGCCCCTTTATTCTTACTTCTGTTTGTTTGTGTATCCTAGGAAGCCGCTCAGCCTGGGAGCAGCACATCACAGCCACCACGGAATACAGCCATTCCTCTGCCATCGCCACGGGACCAGTCTATCCTGACCAACATCACCTTCTTGAAGGTTCTTCTCTGGCTGGTCCTGCTCGGACTGTTTGTGGAACTGGAATTTGGCTTGGCTTATTTTGTCCTGTCTTTGTTCTACTGGATGTACGTTGGGACACGAGGCCCAGGAGAGAAGAAGGCGGGAGAGAAGAGCGCCTACTCTGTGTTCAACCCGGGCTGCGAGGCCATCCAGGGCACTCTGACTGCGGAGCAGTTTGAGCGCGAGCTACAGTTTCGACCCCTGGAGGGGAGATAGGACCAGGCTCTGCTGTCCTGCAGCTGGCCTCCGCGTGGTCCCCTTAGCCCCAGGGCGTGGACTTGTGGGCTTGATTTCAGGTGCCCAAGACTAAGGACAGCATGCAGGTTAGCTCTGTGAGCACGCGGTTCTGCATTCTCTCCCTGATCTTCCGCTGCAATTTTTTCTTTGAACTTTGCTTTGGTTTTGGTGAAACTCCCAGAAAGACACTCACTGTGGGTCTGACGCAATTTATAAAAATTACGTACAAAATAATTAAAAAAATAAAGGAGACCCGTGTCTCATTATTTGAGAGAGGTGATTTTAGAGCACTAGGAAGGCACTGGGGACATAGCTGTTTGAAGTCATGGTCGGGTACATTGGGACTGTGCATTCAAAGTGAATGTTCTCTTTCAGTCCTTTCATATTTATAGCATTTTTCCCCCTAAGAAGCTTAAATTGCAAGTTTTGTTTTTTGGGTTTTGTTTTTATCTCTTCCTGCTTTAAGGCTTGCTTTTTGGGTCATTAATGATTTTGAAAAATAAAATATCTTTAAAACGTGTACTTTTCAGCAACAGATCCGCATTGCCCATCACCACCTTCCACTCTCCTCTGTTACTCTGCGCCCACTCAGTGAAGGAAGAGAAGAGAAGAGAAAGCCCTAGGTGACAGGTGTGGGGAGGGATTTCACAAAGCCAACACTGGTAGATTTGATGAGTGGTTGTTAATGATAAACTCAGCAAGAAAAAATTCTTGAGTGTGTAGGGAGGTTCCTCTGGAAGTGAAACTCCAGACTTATTGGCTGCTTGGGCTGTTTCTTATATTCTGGGGCTTTGGAGTAAGCAGTCCCTTCGCCTGTGGGCTTCTGGTGAGAAATCAGGTAAACAGTGGTCATCCAGGCACGCTGTCACAGTCCCTTCCTCCTCCAGGACAAAGCTAGAGCTTGCCTTTGTTAAGATTGCGCAAAGCAAACCATTAAATACTTATTTTATGGATCCTACTGATGAGTAAGAGGAATCTAGTTTTAAAGCAATAGATTTTTCCGAACGTAAGATTTTAAGAATTAACGATTCCCCAGTAGATTTTCAACTTCAGAATTCAGTTATTAATTCTTATATTCTGAAAGTAACTTTAATATTTATGAGATGTTATTAAGTAATGGAGGCCTGTTGTTAATTCTTCTTTTGTTCTTGCCTGATTTACTTATTAGAGCAAAATCTTTGCTCAATTTAATTAATTTAACTTTTATTCATTGAATGCCAGCACTTTGCTAGGTGCTTCACATATGATAAAAAAAAAAAGCAGACGTGTTCCCAGTTCTCCAAGCATGCAGTCTAGCTGGAAGTGGGGTGGTGGACAAAATAATCCAGGCAATTCCAATGATAGAGTGAGGCACATTTCAGTGATGGGAGGAGTGCCGAGGGACCTTCTCATTCATCACACTTGTGGCCATTCACCCCTGTGTGCTTCAACCCTTGTTGAAAATTCCTCCATTACGCATTGCTCCTCTCTCCAGCCCTTTGCTGGTGAGAGTTGGACTGTCCCTCAGTCATCCAGTTGAACAGAAGATCCCTTTAGCTCGTAAAGAAGTCTTTTCTCCCGTGACTTCTGTCTGAACTGGACCTGTAGAAAGTGTGGGAAACAGATGACTCCCTATTAAACGTGCAAGTTTTGCTCGTATTTAAGATCCATGATTTTGTTTCCTAATTTACTTTCTTAAGGCTTCCTTCATTTCCCTGATGTTTAACTTGGCCTTTTCCACTTCATAAAAGCCAAGGACAGGGAAGAAACCTTCCTGATCGAAGATTCACTGCAATGCCCAGGGCAGTAAGCACTGTTCTAGGAAAGAATTATTTTGCATTTTAAAAAGGTATAATTCAAACTTTCACCTAAAACAAAGCACCTATAACTCTGAATTAGGTACATTTGATCCAGTTAGTAATCCCGGCAAAGTAGAGACTTGTCTTAAGCATAGAAAAGACTCAACTTAGGAGTGGACCTCACTGGCGTGCTTTGAAAATGTTGCTGTTTGTGATGAGGCAGAGCCTAGATTGCCTTAAACCCATCTTCCACGGGATCTTCTGTGAACAATTTGTCTCCTCTCCTTGCTCACCTCTTCCCAAAGTTTGCATGTAATGACAGCATTAACTTCTAGGAAAAAGGGGGTGTGAACCAATTAAATGCCTGGCAGGGTGGAGAGGAAAGGACAGTATGTATTTGCTGTTCTTATCAGGCCATTAAGCTTTAGGTGCAGTCTTGATTTCCTGAATTTGGAAAGGCCTATTGATCTCAGAATTTCCACTTAGGCCTGACCATTAGCACAGCAAGCATCTTCCATTAAAGGCTTATTCTGTCATCAGGGAACTTGAAATCCCAGAGATGCGTTCAGTTCCTATGATAGCTGTGTGTGCCATGAGGTCGTTTCTGTCTGAGTCTTACAAGAAAATTGGCTTTTGCTTTTATTCGTGTTATTTCGTCTTGCCTATTCACAGGGACTGTTAAATGAGCCTCTACTTGTAGGGCTGGAAAGGACCCAGAATGCCATCAAATGCATCCCCCTTGCCTTGGGCAGGGCCGCATTTATTTCTGATTACATTTTTTTTTCTCCTAGTGACCTCTAAAGAAGAAGAATCCAGGTGCAAGATTCGGGCGCTTCTTAGGAAGCTCTTTACCAAAAGAACCTGAGCCACCCTCCACTGCCACCCTAGGTTATTTCTTCTTATTCTCAGTGGACACAGAGCATCCTCCAGGCTGGTAAATCATTGCTCAGTTCTCTTAGTCCTCTCTCTTCTTCAGGCTAAATCCTCCGAGTTATATTCCTGGAACAATCACTTTCAAGCTAGCCTTAGCCCGTTCTGAGGGTTCCAGGTCTGGGTGGGGATGATTGTCTCAGTTGTTGAGTGCAATGACCTTTCTCAAAAGCTCTAGAGTTTTACCAGTGACGAGATAGGCGTGTATATTTTGTGCTATTAGGATTGTGCTTTGAGTCTAAGAGGTCTTCCACATTTGCCTTTTGACGGATCTGTTCATTAAAAGATTAGGCTCACAAGTTCTGTGCTAAAAAAAAACCTGGGAAGTTACACAATTGGCAGAACCAGTGATCCTCAGTTGAGCAGAAGAAAGAAAAACTCTAAACACGGGTTTTTGTTTCCTGTCACTCATACTGTTAACTTATTTTCCAGCAAATATTTGTAGGCGCACTGGGCTTGGTGCTCCTGGAGACACATAAATGAACTTGGTTCATCGGAGTCCATGGTGCATAAATGAACTTGGGCTGTGGGAGTCCGCCGTGACAGCCGGGATGCGGGTGGGGCTGGGATGCCATGGAGCATCTTGCCACCAGGGGGTAGCATAGAGCTGCCGCTATAAATCGTGGGTCCCTTCACATCACACTCGATAATTTATGTCATGTGGGAAACCCACTGGGATGTTTATCTGAACAATTTGTGCTGCTTTTTCAGGCATTCTTTTCACTCTAAGATTCTCAGAGGAAAGGGCCCATCAGAGGTCCTGGGAAAGCTACCAGAAGTGATTTATACATGTACTTTTACATAAAACAACTGCCCCTCTCTAGACTTACCGGGCAGTAGTGCAGTGGAGACGGTTAGCACTGTGCTGTCCACATCTGAGCTTTGTCGGAGGAAGAAAGACTAGGAACTTACACAGCTGGCAGAGAAACAATCCTTAAGCAAAGAAAGTAAAATTGGAACTGTATGCTCTGGTTTCTGTCACACATACTTTATTTCACACCTTTGGAGCATTAGGCTAGAGAAAGACATGGCTCTCACTCTCAAAAAGCTGAGAGAGAAGACAAGGTGAGTGTTCAAAGAACCACATTTTAAGGCATATAATGTAATACAGATGTTTATAAAGGTATAAGTAGTGTGTGTGTGTGCACGCGTGCCTGTGTGTGTGTTGGGGAAGGAGTCATCAGAAGGAGAGATCTAAATTTTGTACCACTTAGGATTGTCACTTTTATATGAGGAATACTAAGTTTCCTTAACACGGCATGGATGAATGTTTGGAAAAGTGCAGTCTATGGATCACCTGCATTGGAATGCCCTGTGGTGATGTTAAAAATGCAGATTCTGGAGCTCCACCCAGACCCACTGACTTGGAATGTCTAGGGGTAGGACCCCAAGAATCTGCATTTCAACAGCCTCCCTGGGGTCATCTCCAGCTCACTAAAGATCAGGAGCCACTGATGTAAATCATAAATGTTAAAATAGGAAGAAAACAGTGTATATTAGATCCAAGCAAAGAGAGATGGGTGTGTATTTTTAAAAGGCGCAACAAGGTTTGCCATTTTTCAAACTGTTCACTCGAAACATCAGAGCTAGAGAAAAAGAAACACAAAGATGACTTTAAAATGATGAGGAACTAACTCCAGAGGCTGTACTGTCATTAAAGGTGCTTTATTTCTGAAGTTTTCTTTAAAAACAATTATTAGCAAAAGAAGCACATGCTCACGTTAGAACATTTTGGAACAATAGGAAAGTGTTTTCTGTTGTGCTTATATGAGTATATGTCAGAATTCAGGAGGTACATAGGCTACACAGTGATAGAGTCTCCCTCCCACCATCCTGTTTGTTCTTTCTCAAGCCCACAAATGATAGCATCCTCTACACACCATTCTGCCCTTTGCCTGCTTTCTTCTTTTTTAGGTTTTTGTTTTATTTATATGCATTTGAAGTTTTCATGTAAAAGAATGACATGATACAATTTTCATTTTGAAAAGTTCATGTGGAGAGCAGATTCTTTATGTTGTTCATTCGTTCCCCTGTCTGTCCATCCACCCACCCATCCATCCATCTACTTATTTATGGAACACCTAATCTTTTTTTCCATTGGTGAAAATGTTTATATATTTTCTATACAGCCATCTTTTAAGATTTTGTTAACCGATATGGACATTGCAAAATTATTGGCTTAAGACGTATACATTCTACTTCTTATGTTAAAGTGGAGGATTTTAATTTGGGGAAACCAATAATATTAATGATTATGATAATTAAAAACTAAATCAGAATATCCTAAAAGTCAACACAACAAATTTAACAAATATTTTAGGAAAGGAACCAAATAAAAGCTGTAACCATTTGTTTCTAGAACAAATACATTCATGCATTCATCAATTTAACAGTTTTGGACAGCATTTTACTGAATAAGTGTTTTTTATTCAATTCATTGTTTCATTAATGAAAGAATTACAATCCATAAAGATGACCAAATGAGGCATAACAACCTACTCACCAGCACCTGCTTTTCCAACTTATATGAATCTAACATCTCTCTCCCTCTCTATCTATCTGTCCATCTTCACCATTTCTTAGTCTGTCTTTGGGTTTGGGCCATGATTTCTTATGAAGAGAATCAAAAGCCTAACTTAGTGTCTACTGTGGACTTTGACAGAGCGCCTAATCTTTGCCAGGCCCAGTGCTGGGCTCTGAGTATGTAGGGATAATGCAGACGAGGTCCCTTTTCTCAAGGAGCTCACAGTCAAATGGGGGCAGCAGCCAATAATCAGTTACAGAACAGTGTGGTAAGCACTATGTGATGTTTAAATGAGGACCAGAGGATAGAAAAGGGATATCGAAACACTTATGAGGTCAGGGGGTGCTTCCTGGAGGTGGTGACATTGTGCTGAGTTTGAAGGAGCATCAAGTACTCTCCAGGGAAGAAGGCAGGGGCAAGGAGGTAGCATGTCAGTCACAGGAACCCCCTGGGAAAAGGTGATTAATCATGAAGGAGAATAGCATACTTGAGGAATATGATACATTCTGAGAATTTTTTTATTATTTCTTCCAACTAGGTGTTACATATATATATGAAAGTTATTGATTTTGGTATATTAATTATGTACCAGCTCTTGCCCTTTACTGAATTCTCTTACTAATTATAATGATTTTTCGATTGATTCTCTTGGATTTTCCATATAGATTTTTTTTTCAAATTTTGTAAAATTTAGCTCCTCTTTTTCCAAGTTTTATACCTCTTATTTTTGCTCTTTGTCTAATTACATTGGCTAGAACATCCAGAAAAATGTTAAGTCAGAATAATAGTCAATATCATCTTTGTCTTGTTCTTGACTTTAACGAGCGTGCTGTAGTATTTTCCCATTAAGCATGATGCTGGCTTTAGCGTAAGTGGATCGATCGATAGACACATGGTTATCTTCAGGAATTGTTCATCTGTACTTATGTTGTTAAAAGAGTTTTTTTCCTTAAGAATGGATGTTGAATTTCACGAAATCTCTTTCAGTGTACTGGAGATTGATTATGTGATTTTTCTCTTTGATCAATTAATGTAATCAGTTGTGTTATAGATTTACTCATATTGAACCATCCTTTTATTCTTGGAATAAGTGATCCTTGACAGTAATGTCCTATTCTTTTAATGTGCTGATAGGTTCTGTTTGTTAATACTTTCATTTATATTTTTGATTAATAATTTTCATGAGGTTATACAATTTTTTGAGTATTTTTTTCAGATTTTGGAATATATAAAGACATGTTTTTAGGTCTCCATTACAGATTGTTCCCTTTTATCATTATAAAAAGCCACCTTTGTTTTCTTTATTGCTCTTTGCTCTGAATTCATCCTTATCTGATATTAAGATTGGGACCCTGCTTACTTTTTGTTTGCGTTGGCCAAGTATGCCTCTGTCCGTCCTTTGGTTTTCAGCCCGAGTCATTTTTGTCAGGTCTGTTGCTTGTATATAAAGAACATTTGGATTTTGCTTTAAAATCCATTATGAGAAATATTTTTCTTTTAATAGGTGAATTTATCTCATTATATTATTGAAGTCTTGTTCACCTCATCACATTTTATGTTATGCTTTCTGTTTATATTGCTTCTTTTACCATATGGTCTCTGCTTTTTGTTCTGTTTCCTTTTGTGTGTGTGTGTTTCTTTTGATAATTTGGAAAACTTAAATGTCTGTTCCACAGCTGTTTTTTTTTTAACTTTAAATTAATTCCTTAATCCTTCATATTTTAGGCAGTATTTATTAATATCCTGTGAAAAATGAATGTAATAAGTTTGTATTTCCACCTGTTCCCTGCTTCTCTCTATTCCTCAATACTCATTCTATTGACTGATTAATTGATTGACTTTACATTTTTAAATATAATTATAATCTATTACTTGATTTATTAGCCTTAAATTACATATTTTTACCTGTGGCTATGAAAGATGAGGAAATCCACATGCCTACACTGCTTTACGCACCTCCTCTCCCTTCTCCTCACCTCTTTTTATTAGTTTTATCATTACTATATTGCTAAGGTTTTTCACATCTACATTCTGTTCTTTAACCATAATTGCTACATTTGTTTTAGTCTTAGTCCAACCTACAATTGATTTTTTTTCACTTACTGATAAACTATGAATATATTCTCATGCTATTCTTCTACAATATTGTTTTTGACAGCTGCATAATATTTCTGTATGGATAAATGTGCCATTTCTTGTTTAGCCAATCCCCTATTATTGAGCACTTAAGTTGTATCCAATGTTCACTAGTATGAATAGTATAAACCAGGCTAACCTCTTTGAAACTTAAAACTCTATATTTCCAACTCTTGCAAAACAGTAATTAGAGGCCAATTCCTCTCAGGACAGTGGTCTCAAACTTTAGTGACCATTCACATCTCCTGGGAGTCTTGTTAACATGGAGATTCCGATCCATAGGTCTGGGCCGGAGCCTGAGATCCTGCAATTCAGACAAGCTCCCAGGTGATGATGATGCTACTGGTCTTCAGACCACACTTTGAGTAGCAAAGTCTTTGAATACATTTTGTGTCTGTGGAATTTTGCTTGAATGAAAAAAATGCAGAAAACATAGTCTGTGGCAGTGGTGCTCATTGTGTCTTGTGAAACACTTTAAAATATTAGGTTTATATCAAAGTAATTTGTAGAAAATCATTATTATTTGTGAATGTTCATTTTGCGATTTTGTTAGTGCACCTTCAAGGTTACCCTTATGTTGTAAATCTCCTCACTTGCCTAGGCCTATTGAGGATGTGTGCATGGGAGCCTATCAGATGGCACATTGCTGTCACATGGGAAAAAAGACTGAGAACCTGGGGACCAGAAATAAAGCAGAGTTCAGACTGGCACCCTGGAGTGAGTCAGTGAAAAGAAGACTTTGATCCCCAATTTGTAGATGATACCTGCACTCCTAACCCTTGGAGATGTGTCTTTCCTTTGGCGGGTGGGTGGTTGTTAGGGTGGTTTTATCCTACCAGACCCTAAGTGATCTGGCCCCTGCCTGCATCTCTCAGTTACATTTACCTCCTTCATGTTCATCCTACCCAGGGGTTAAGCAAGCTTTTTCTATAAAGGGCCAGACAGTAAATAGCTTTGTTGACCATACTGTCACAACTACTCAACTTTGCTATTGTAGAGCGAAAGCAGCCATAGACAATATGTGAACAAAGGAGTATGCCAATAAAACTTTATTTATAAAACCAGTTAGTGGGCCATAGTTTGCTGATCCCTGCTCTAACACACCAAATAAGCTTCTGCTTTAGGGTCTTTGCACCATTTGTTCCCTTTGCTTAAAACTCACTTCCCCTAGATGGTCCAAGGATTTGTTCTCTTACTCCATTCAGGTCTCTCAGCTGTCATGTCATCTGAAAGGCCTTCCCTGACCACTCAGTATAGAATAGCACCCTTCCCCCATATCTCCATTCCTTTTTTGCCTCTCTCCTATGATAAATACTTCATTTAGTTACGTTACTAATAATATTGATCATATTTTGATAATTTCTGGAGAAAAGTATATGTATTTATAGGCGGAGTATTTTTTATACGTGTAGCAATTCATTTACAGTGAACCATCTCTATGGACAGACTTAGATTTGTTATGCAGAGTTTGTTTTAATCATATTCCTTCTAATAACTTTTCCCCTGAGATTTAGAATGAGTTTGACAGTGCCAAACATATCATATGATGAAACGGCACAGGGTGAAATGAAGGAATTGCTTTGATCTAGATCCTCATCAATTAAAAAAAAATAATGTCTTTGGCTATTCTACCTCTTACTATGGATTATACCAGGTTCTGCCCCTGTATGTAATTTTCAAAGAACTATTTATGGAAAAAGAAGAATTTCCTATATAATTTGCATGTTTCCCAGAAGCAGAGGAAGCCTCGTGGCCTAATGAAAGGCTGATCAGTGCAGGGTGAGTAGGGGAACTGGGAGAGACGTTTCCTAAGGAAAGATAATCAAATAGGAAATTCATGTGAGGACATGATAGCTTTGGAGGATCCAGTCCCAAGGAGGAGAGAGAGATCGGATTCTGAAGAGTCCACACAGGGTGTCCATGTAGCCATGCCCGTGTAGCCAAAGGCTGCTGTAGCCTTTGGAAATCTACATCAGTGTACCATTTTGAATGCAGCTGAAGAAAATCTCTCCATGTGGGCAGCTAGTGTAGAGGGTGCATGAGCCCCACATGCCCTTAGGGAGATGACTCCAATTATGGGGTATTACTGAGGTTCAGATGGCTTGGCATACTCTCAGGGGGTCCGTACCGTGGAAGAACATCTCAAGAGCTGTTGCACTTTTAACATGAGGAGTGACACCAAGACTAACCCATTGAAGGACCCCAATAGGCAAAGGACCCCTCCTGCTAGAAGAGGGTCTATATCTGAGAAGCAGGCAGAATTCAAGACTAGGATAAAGTGAGAGAATTGTGGTTTCAGCTGATGCTAAGATTCTACAGATGAGGCATCTTTTCTGGACTTGTGGCCCCATCATGCTTTGGTTGGCAGGCTTTGCGATCTCTACCAATTTCTTTAAAAAGGTGATTTTGTAAATACCTATGTAAAGTGTGGTGTTATGGACCTTTTTCTTGATTGCTAAGAATATTCCAACACAGTATAATTCCTAACATAACATGATTCTGTTATATAACATGAGTGTACATAAGATGACTTTTCATCTGTATTTTTAACTACCTTTCCAAAGGATGCTGTTGGAAGGACATTGGTTTAGCTTAACCAAAGTGAGATGTCCTTATTTTGGTGTGTGTCTCCCGCATTTTGGTTCTCTAGTCTCCGCTTCCCACATTAAGATTTGAAAATGAAAGAGCTTGAGGGTGGTTTCATTGTAAAGTGGCATCTAATTGGTGGGTACCAGTGGGGTTCAATAAAACTGAAAATTCAATTTCCTAGGAATTTTGAAGATTCTGAAGCTTTCTAAGAGGGCAAAATACATGGTGGTAAAACATCGGTCTCTTTAAGCCAGAAATGTACATAAATGGTTATAGATTGTTGAAGATTGGACCTAAAAGCTAAAGTAACTATAGCCTTTTTGTTGCAGCTATTAAAAGGTGTGATTATGTCCAAGTCCTGAACTGTGTTTCTAATTCCACCTTAGGTCATTGGAACTGAAAAGTCTTCTGTAAACATTGTTTATTATTTCAAGTCTTTGCTCTTTCACCCTAGAGATATGGAAAGTTAAAAAAAATTGTTTGCCAGTTCCCTCCAGGTGTTAGCAGCCTGCTTCAGCATCCCTCAGCGTGGGACTGCTCAGTGTTTATAATACTCAGCTATTGATTTTATTCTCTGAGGTTGTAACACAGATAAATTCTCAGGGCTATTGGTCCTATGTGAGGAGGAGCCACAGTAATTCATTCTAACACTGGTGCCTGGCATCCGTGGGAAAAAAATAAAAACAAGTGTTGGATTTACTCTTGGCTGTGGGTCTTTTTCTCTTTCTAAAATCATTATGTTAGTTAAAATGAGCCTTTGTACCAAAGGAAACAATCTATCACAGCTTGGGATTGGAGAACTCTACAGGGAAAGAGCTCAGATTTATGGAAGAAGGAGTTAATAACATTGGCTAGAGATGGGGCTCCTAACTTGGCTCCCTATAGCTTGCCTCTTGTAATTCTCATTCTTTTTTCCACCTCTGCAATTTCTTCCTCTCTTTTACTATAGCTCTTTTTCACATTTAAACAGTGCTGGGTTTTTTAATTTACTTTTCTTATGTTCTGGCCTCTTCATCATCTCTTTCCCACCTACCCTTCCCGCCTTTGGGATATATAATTTCTACTCTTTCCTTGTCCCAATACTGGGTCTATTTTCCCATCTTCTCCAACTATCTGGATACACTTGTTATCTATTCCAGTTTGTATTGCTGGGGTTCTTTCCCCCACTATTTCTATCAGAAAGGGAGACCCCACTGTTTTCAGTATTTGTCTTTATTGTGGGGATGTGTAATGGGGTGGGGAGGAAGGAAAGGAAGAGGGAAATAGGGAAGGAGAGAGAAAGAGAGAGATTGAAAGACACTGAACTGTGGGTGTTTATGACATAGGCTTCTTGGAAAACAGTGAGAGAAGATGGGTTGGGGGTGGATTCCCAACCCTTGGGAATGCTGATACACATGGCATAGGAGTGAGCTCCTTCACAAATTCTATGTGGAATTCAGTTATCCCCATCTGTGGGGTATCAGTCACTGGAATGTGGCTCTATATTGCATGCGTACATGGATGAGTCTGGAGGCCAAGAATTCTCATTTATTTCCTCCACGGCTGGGCCTCTGCAGAGCAGGGCAGCTCCATTAATCTTTCTTCAGGCTGAGGTTAAACCCCATTAAGCCAAAGTGCACCTGCTTTTCCGAGATGTCATCTATCTGACTTACGCATCCTACAAATGTGGTGGTCACTGGTCTGGTTTGGTTTGGGCAGGTGTTTTCCTGAGGGTGGGGAAGGGAGAAAAAGCTCTGAGCTCCATCTTGCTCCTGCTGAGTGGCAGAGTAAAGACACAGAGAGGTGAGAATATCAATAGTGGAGTGAATAAAATCGAAAGCAAGATTGGTGCAGACAAACCAAAATGCAGACATTCTATCTGCAGATATCAAGAATTGGCTATCCTTGTAGTTTGCTCTCAGAGTAAGAATTAGGTTTGAAAGGGACAATTCCCACAGCTTGTCTAAAAAGGAGGTGTATTTAAGGAGACCTTCAGATAAGTACATTTATCTTCAAACAGGGATAACGGAAATGGTGGAGGGATTAGGGAAAATCTGCAAATCCTCTGTTCTTCTATAAAAGTGAGTTGCAAATCCAGAGAGTGAGCAATCATTTTTGGGGAAAAGTTCATTTTCTGAAGATGAATCTCTAAACAGCAGCTCCATTCAAATTCTGTGGCTGCTTTGCAAACAAGGCTTGTGCTTTTATAGCATTTTTTTAAAAAACGGATTTAATGGACTGAGTTCATTTAGACAGGGGAGATCAAATGAATGAGTGGAATTAGAATACACGTCCATTTGGCTGTCAGTCATTATTTAAGCCACTCGACCACCCAACTTCTCTAATTAAATGACTTTGCAGTCCCTGTATAAAGGCTGCGATGGATAAATTAGTACTTGGTAAGTGCTTTGAAGATGAAAATCACAATATGAGTAATGAGCAAAGATTTTTTTTCCTTGGGCTGGAAACGGCGTCTTTTGTGTTTTCCTACTGCACCATGAGTCACCTAGGTTGACATTGCAGAAAACCTCCTCTCCCAAAGGAAGAACAAGAGAGACACAGTAATGACAGGCTTTTATTTGACTTACAAGGCAAATTAGGAAACAGCCCGAATCCATTCACATCTATACAAGGAATTACATACCATACATATTTGCTACCTATAGACACAGGTCATATTTTACATGAATTTACACATTAGAAATCACATGGAAATTATCTTGTTTAAACATTCATGAAGAGCAAACATCCGCCAAGAGCACTGAAGATAGAAATTTAGCTCTCTCTTCTGAGAGCCTGGCTCACCTCTCTCGGTGCATTTAAAGCTCTGTGTTGAACCACCTCCAAAACCAATGGGATGTTAAGATTTATCTCCTTGAGGATGTGATGGTTATTTTTAATAGGGGGGCTTATAAGATCTGCAGATTTGGAAGTAAAGTGTGAACCATTTGGCAAAATCCAGCTCTGTCCGTCGGGGGCGAATCTTGCCCCTTCCTGGCTCCCCCCGCTGGCCCCTCTGCACAGAAGCGAAAAACCTAACTTACATGTTCCAGACTTTGCTGGGAGCTCTTTTTCCCTCACATCCAGACATTCTCATTTATATATGATTTCCTTCTCCTGGATTGCTTTGACGCTGTGATAATTAGTCATGTTAGTTTGTCCAGGTTGACTAATTACTGATAGTTTGGACAGGCCCCATCAGAAAGGTTGCATAACCCCAATGTAAGTTAGGATCCAAGCTGATGGCTGCAACGCTCCTCACTGCGCCAGAGTGAGCAAGTGGTGCATCATTGTCAGCCCTGGCAGTGCCTCACTCTCAGCTGTACCCCTCAATTGGTCACAGCTGAGAGGATGGCATTCACAGCATGGCTGGCAGGGTCACCTCTTACTGAGGCGGCAGGGGGAGGAGGGCGGGAAAGCTCATTGCGGGGATGGGCGGGTATGAGGGAGTAGCGTGGGGGTGAGGAGGAGGATGGATGCATGGGGGGAAAATGCACCAGTGCTGGATGCGGTCCTGAAAACCTGGCTAAAATGGTCGAAGGGGAGAAGAGAAAAGCTCCCTCTCTGACAGATTCAAATATAGGCAAAGTCCAAAAGACTCTTAGGAGTTAAGGGAAAACAATTATGCTTATCAGCTTCCTGCCAATCTGTCTCCACTGACAGCGCAGAAGGAATTATAGATACCATAGACACACTGTGGCATTAATTGTTAGAAATTATACTGCTTAACAATGCTTCCTGATAGGGCCCTCTGCACGGGGCCAGAGAGCTGGTTTGAGCCAGCAGGACCACTGTAGGGGCGTGGTGATGCTGTCTGCAGAAGTTTCTCACATTGGGCCATTTTCTTTCCCAAGAAACCTCACTCCAGCCATGAAAGGAAAAAAAGTTCCAGTTGATACTAATTTGGATTCGTTGAATATTTAGCACGTCATTCACATAGCTGTCTTAGCAGAAAAAGCCGACATATTTTATTTGAGGGTTTTTATAGTTTGCCTCGTAGGAGCCAAAAGCAGGGTCAGCACTGGAGATTAGAATCAATTCAGTGGAAGGAAAATAAACTTTTGGAATACATTGTGCCTTCCCTGAGCACGTCGCAGGCATTAGCAATAATGGGAGCCCCGTCTGCGCATGGAGAGGAAGCATCTGCCGCTCAGGCTCCCGCCCACCCTCGCCCTGGATTGTGCAGCCCCATGACCTTCTCAGTGGGTGGGATGATTCTGTATTCATCATCTCCTAACTTTATGCTGCTGTGCACAAGACAAAACACACACGCACACATGCGCATGCATGCACACACACACACACACACACACACAATGTTCTCTCCTTGTGGAAGAAAGAGACAGGGGAGGGAACGGGGATGGAAGCTGCTGAAACATGGCCCACACCAATGAGGTGACCAAGCCTCTCAGGGCGTGCATGTGAACTGACTCTTTCTATTTGCCCTTCGTGGTGGCAAGGCCATCTTTGCTAGGCTAAAGTTGCCCAGTTTTCTAGTCTTCTCCAACTTCAGGGGGTACTAGAGAAGCAAAAGGGGAGATTTGGGACCTTTTTTTAAGGTTCTTCTAGTCTACTCTGTATGGCTATCAGTACAGCTTCTCAAACAAGCACAGATGCATCAGAAAAACAGTAAGCCAATCCATTAAAAGAGCACTGGCTTTGCTATCTGCTATGGCTCATTTGCTATTTCTATGCATACGTGTGCTCTTATGCATTTCGTTTCTTAATTTTCAGACAAGGAAAGAGATACTAGAGCAGAGATAGTAAAGCACACCCTTCCCCTCTTCTCAGTGGGATAAATCACTGGGGAGATGGCACTTTCACCATCCGGTGTGTCTATCTTTGCTGCTGTGTTTCCTCCTTAACAGAAACTCTGGATAACACTGCCAACTTTTACTTAGAGTATTTTGAATGGCCATTTATATTTTGCACTTATTCTTTCCAGAGGCCTCACTGGACTGGGAGGCGAGAGTTGGCAGGAGTCCTAGTCCAGCTTAGCCACCATCCAGCTCTGTGACCTTAGGCAAGCCACCTCTGCAAGCCTACCTCCTCACTCCTCTAGGTCAGGGCAGGAGAGATGGCCAAGGTCTTTCCCTGCTCTGAGTCTCGGAGAACTCCACTGGTGTGAGCTTCAGTGTGAACTGCATCGAGGCAATTGAAAATCATGCCTGCAATCTGGAGAGTCATTTTGAATGGAAGGCAACTTTGCAGTGTAAGTGGTTTGTTTCAGTTCTGTGATTCAGCTGCTCCAAAGATTGAAATGGCAAGGACAAGTTGACAGGATTTAAGCCTCTAATAAATTCCAGGGAGCTGGCCAGGGTGCTGAACTCAGTCTCTATTATGACAGTCTTCAGACCTTGTTGGCTGCACAGCTCACACACAGAGCGCCCCAACCCTGCTGGTCAGCAATAGTACCCCCAGGATGGAGGCAAATAAGAGCGTTCTCAGCAAGCTCCAGACTTTAGGGCATCTGACATGTAAACAGCTAGTGGAATTTTGGAGTACATTGCATTCGATATTTCCCAGACCTATTAGAACTATATTTAGCTTTAGGAGAGTTTGGGAATAGCTTGGCGGGAGTGGACTGCCATTCAAATGAATATTAATAGTGTGGCTCTTGGAGCAACGAAAATATTTCTTCAGTTCAGTGTCTGGTATCACGAAGGAAAAAGTTCCGCAGTGTTAAAAGGCTTGGGGCGTGGGGGTGTGAGGAGCCTTCTGAAATCAGGAATCACCAATATCAATTAGAGTTTAAACCAAATTGTCTGAGCTTCCCAGGTGCCTAACCAAACACTTTCTCCCCACAATTCCTCCCCCAACCATTTATTTTTCACAGATTATATCAATCTATCTCTTTCTTGCTGTGTAGTGTATTAATGATTCTCAAAATCTTCCAGTTTATCCAAAACTGAGACACTTGCACCAGAGGTTTACCCCACCCCCCATCAACCCACCAGTGTTCACCTCCCCTCTTCCCTACTCCAAAGAGAAAGCTAAATGAGTGATGCCTATTGGGAAGTCTTCCCTTATTCTTGCGATGCTGTAACATCCCCACCCCCCACCTATCTACATTTGCTCAGTCAAGGAGGCAGACTGCACAATTCCTTTCTCTAGCCTGAGGTTCAACTTCCCTATTAACATAGACACAACACTTCACTGAAGCTGAAGTATAAGAAATTTTCTGCTTGATGTGTTTTATGTCCCATTATTACTTTCCCTGCACATCACTTGCCTCTCTGAGGGGCACAGGAGAATGTGTCTGGTGCAAGGCTTTGGGGAGGGTCCCCCATCACTTAAAAAGGAGAAGGAGGGAGAGATGGACTCATAAAGGAATTCATCCAATGCTTCTCCCTCTGCCCTCCCAGGAGGTCCTATTGGACTTGCAAGAGTTGTCTCCTGCTCTGGAAACTTCCTTCGCATCCATGAACTCAATTGCCAGCCTCCCTGGGATGGCAGTTCTCCTTTTCCCTGGGTCTCTGCAGTGCTGCTACGTGTCTGCTTTCTCATCATGGCTGGGGCAGGATTGATAGGTTTTCCCTGTCTAGCCTCTCTGCTGCTCATTATTTATGGGATGAGACTGGAGGCAGGGCAAACATTAATAGCTCAAAGTGTGGATGAGCCAAGTCAATTACTACCCCACTCCCCCAAACAACATCCACCACCACAATGATTTAGTTCTTGTTTCCATCAGGTGGGAGAAATCAGAATTGCACATTTGCACATGGAGATTATTCACAGCAATAAGGAAAAATAAATAAAGTGTGTACAAGCTCCCAAGTAGGGGAATTTCAAAGGGAAGAAACCAAGGGCAGGAGAAGTCGGCCTCCGTGGTAGCAATGGCAGCTGGTAGTTTCCCCGAAAACGTCTCTTCTTGGTCACATGCCCTAAAGTTAGAGGACACACCCAAACTCCCATGCAAGATACATAATCTCCTCACAAATGAAAAACATTTCCATGGACAGGTGGAGCCAAAGCTCTCTTGGCCCTCTGAGTTCCCAATAGTGGTAGGCAATCTACTCCCCCAGGGCAGACATCTCTAAAGTTCCCTACATGAACCCAGAGGATTCTTGAGCCTTTCTAGAATTCAGAGCTCATAGCCCAGGAACAGGCTCCTCGGCAGTGGGCTTGCCCTCATTCCCTGGGCCTGGTGGGAGCAGGCACCAAAGCCAATCAAATACCCAGGGGAGAAGTGATCACCAGCAAAGGAAAACTTCAGCCACCTTTTCAATGTTCATTCTTAACATCACCCACAGCCATTTCTAGGAATAGCTGCTGGTGGTGGCCCAAACAAAGCCCCCAAAGAGAAGCTGCGTCGTGAGATGAGGGGTCCAGATGAGGGAAACAAGCAACACAGACACGTGAACAGCATCCCTTAATGAGGAGGCAGATGGGGGTGGCTGTGGCCCCAACCAGAGGCAAGCGGAGTTGGCCCATGTTACCTAAGCTCTGTGTTTGGCTGAGGTTATACCAGCATCTTTCAGAACCACCTCCTCTTACAAGCTCCCGTCTCACTAATAAGTCATTGACCTTGAGTTTGAGTCTAGGGCTGATTTGCTGCTCTGTCTGGGGAACCCCAGGGGCCTTGTAGCTTAACGGGAAGAAATCTTCCTCATTTGAGCAGCAATCGTTTTTCCTCTCCTCCCGCCACTGTGATCCAATTAGTAGGCTGCTTCTCCTTGGAGAAAATGTGTCCACAGGTCCCAGGAGGCACTGGCCATTTGCCTGTCTGATGGGTTTGGAAAGGGAAAGCAGGGATGTATGTGTGCATGTGTTCCTTCCTTCCTACCCCGGACGGTCTCTCCCACCTGGGATGACCACCCAGCCAGCAGCGAGAGCACAGGGGTGGCAGGTGCTGGAGTCTTAGCTGCAGGAGGTCTGGCACGTGGCTGCGTACACACCGCTACCCACCGTGCCTCCGCTGCTCAGGCTGCTGGTGGGACACTTGAGGGGCTTCATGCTGCTGTCCCTCTGGATGTGCAAGTGCTCAAGCCGCCAGCGCTCCCAGCTCTTCCGAAACTCCATCTGGACCTTCCGTGGGAAAAAGAGGGAAACAAAAGCCACCATGTAAACCAACTGCCCACAAAATGGCCCCATTATTACATTAGTAGGGAAGGGAAAAAATCCACTGCATTATATTAAGAGACACAAGTCAAGGCCCTCGGGCACCTAAATTAATATCCCAATAAAATTGTTTATTGTTGTCTCCTATTTTCCGCCTCCCCTCAGGAGAGAGATGGGATTGATGATCTAATTGGCCTCTTTCATCTCTAAACTCTGTGACTCAGCTAAGTACTTTTTACAATCCATCACAGGATTATTTAACGGAAGAGAACAAGAGGGACAGAGAGATTCGGGAAGAAGGGACATGGGAGAGAGGAGAAGGAGGGAGGACCTGACTTTAGAGCACGCTCTCCCAGATTTCAGCCCGGACGACTGAGAAGAGGGACGGCCCAGCCCTAAAGCTCATGGTGCCTACACCAGACTCTTCTAAACTGCTTGAGGGCTTCTGGCCCCAGCGCCTTGTGAGGAGGATGAGGACAGGAGGGAATAAGGCTGAGACTCACAGCAGCAGTGAGGAGGGGGCCGCGGACAAGGGCTTCTCAGGCTGAATTCAAACTAATCCCATCTAGAAACTAGTCCTGACCCATGGGGGCTGCAGCCCAGGTGAGGTCAGTCAACCAGAATCCCTGCTGTGCTGAGCTCAGGCCTCCCCATCAGGAAAAGCCTTCTCAAGAGGGCTGATGCTTGGGGACCAGGTTGTTGGGGCAGAAAGATACAAATCCAAGTAACACTGCAAAGCCCCAATCACCTGATGGCTCATGGCAATGCTGTGGCTCCTTGTGATGGCCTGTGATTCTGGTCCCCCAGAGGGGGCTGCTGGGACCTACATATCTAGCCTGGAGGGGTCTGGAGGCTCTTCTGGGGGACGTTCCCATAAGTTTGCCTTCCAGAGCTTCTCTGATGTCTCCTATCCTTGCCCCCAGGCACCCCCATGACGGAATGTCTCAGGCCCCAGGCCAGGAGGCCAGCTGCCAGCAGCTGTAGGTAAGCAGCTCACTGCCAATGCCCCCATCAGTGCCTGTGCAAACACCCCTCTTCTCCTGCAAGGGCTGCTATCCATCTAGCTAAGCCCAGGAAGATGCCTGGCATGGCCGCATGCTACCCCTTAAAAGAACTTCTTCTGCACGGAGTGGAGCTAAGATGGCCCAAGCCTGCCTGCCAGGATGGCCCCAGTATCCTGGACAGTGTCACGGAGCCCAGGCTTGGGTGCAGGAGGGAGGCTGAGCAGACACCCCCTATGGCCACCCTGCTCTGTGCCAGCTCGCTGCCTGGCCAAGCATGTGTGCTGGGTGTGCTAATAGCTGGGGTAGGGACACCCAAGGCTCATGGTGGCCTCTCCTGGTGCAGCAGCAAGAAGGCCAATCTTGTCCCAAAGCCCTTACCTGGGCAGAGGGGGGAGAAAGATGGTAAACTGAGGCACATCCATGGGAAGCCACAGGGACTGAAGAGGTTTCATGGATACCAGCAGGAAATCAGACAGGCCAGGACTTCTCAGAGTGCTGACAGTGGTGTCCCCTTCTGCCCCTGTCTCCCTCGGCACTTTTTCTGAACCTCCACTGTGCTCCATATGACAATTGTCATTAGAAACCATCATTTATTGGGACCTTATTATATGCCCAGCATTTTCCCATTTTCTATAGATTATTTCGGTGACCTTCAGAGCAACCCTGTAAAGCAGCTCTGGTTATTACTCCTCACTTAAAGGTGAGGAAACTAGATGCAGAGTCTTTAAGTATTTCCCCTGGTCTCAGCCAGGATTTGAACCTAGATCTGGGCTGACTCAGAGCCGGTCTCCTAACCACTGGCACCCTGCCTTCAGTGACTCTATAGGTCATGCTTTTTTCTGGCCACATCTCCTCCCCACTCAGCAGGAGGGCCATGAGGGCTGGGACCACATCTTCCTAGCTCAGTGCCCAGCATCCAGCAGGTACTCAACAGTGTTTTTTAAACAAGCCAAATGAATGAATGAGTAACTAGGTGAGCATCTGACACTGAGTTCCTACTCAGTTATTCCAAGGAAACGACAAAGGCGATAACATGCATCCTGGACCCCCATCCTAGCATGAGGTCAGTGCACGTCCTCACACACTAAGATTACCATCATTCCTCCCTCCAAGGCCCTCTCTGGCCAGGCACCATGCCAGGCTCTGGGATTTGGGATGAACTGGTAAAGCTCATTCACCTCCATTTATGCTTGGGGAGAGAGGCAAATTGATGGCCTCTGGTCACACAGCTGGGCGGTGGCAGAACTGGGACCAGCACTCAGGCTCCTGATCAAGAGCCATGGTGAGAAGACACAGCCACAGCAAAACCACCTGCCGGCCTCCCCTCCCCGTGCCCAGTCCCCACCCACCAGCAGCTGGTGCGGGCCTTGGCAGCCATGCAGGACCAATGTCCAGGTCATCTTTTCTCCTCGGGTCACAAGTACCTGGCATTGCCATGGCAACCCTGGGTCTGGAGAACAGCTCTTGTGGACAGAGGCCTTAGCCCAGGAGTCATGTGTGTTTCTGTGGCCCAGGGATGATGACGTGTCTGTCCTTGTGCCTGGAAGAGCCAGGGCACGAGGCGTCTCTGGGAGGGTTTAAAGGAACTGGGCTGTGCAGTAAAACAAGACAGACTCTGCGGGCCCTCTGAGTGGGGTCTCCTGGACCCCATGGCAGGAGCTTGGGAGAGCCCGAAGGGGGAAGCCAGCTGGGGATCTGGTGATTCAGGGTCAAGTTCTTCGCCAAGGGCAGAGCAGGGAGTGTGTGCATCCCTCCCTCCTCACAAAGCGTGGTGTTCCTGGGGGCAGGTGAGGGAAGAGGTGATGAGTGACTGGGCTTTGAGGAACGGAATCAGGAGAAGAGACTGAGCCAGGGTCCAGGGGAGACTCTCCACAGAAGTGGTGGGGAAGCCACTCACACACGCGTGCAAAGAGGGGTGTGTGCGGTGAGCGTGTGCTGCTAGAATGGCTTTGGGGAAAGAGGGAGGAGTGGGAAACAGGGGACTGGAGGGGCTGAGAAGCTGAGAAGGTGCAGAAGTGAGCCTCATTGCCTCCTCAGTGGCCTCTGCTCCTCAGTGCACACTGGGATATCTGCTACCCTGCCCCCGTCCCCTGGAAAATAAAGCAGCACAGCTTAGGGTCAGGCAGCACTTCTCCCCTCTGGCTGAGAACCACTCCTGAAACGAATGCCACCCCACAGAGCTTGTGGTTCCCCGTCGCTCAGCATGTGCTTCAGTTCCCCAGGAAGTCCTTTATGAGGACTCAGATGTGGCGGAGAACCAGGGCTGGAACGTCCCTCTGCCTCCCACGGATCAAGGGCCTGTAGGATGAGGCCCCTGGAAGCAGCCTCTACAGGTACCTTCCCTCCTTCCCTGGCCCAGCTCCACTGAGCCTGGCCGGCCTCTGAGACCTGCCCAGGAGAACAGCCAGAACCCATTTATAGGCCACCCTTTGCCTGGCACTGCCTCAATTTCCCAACCCAGCAGCCCTGAGGTATTAGCAGGGACTCGCTCCCCAACTACTAGCTCTACCACCTTCTAGCTGCTGAACTGGGACTATTCACTTCACCTTTCTGAGCCTTAATTTCCTCATCTGTAAAGTGGGGATAACATCCTGGGACTACACAGGATTGGATCTGATAAAACACTTGAGCACCCTATATACAGTAAGCACTCAGAAGATGTTGTTCGCTCCCTTCTAGAGATCTGAAGTCCACATGCTCTGAGCATTATTACCTCCATTTTGCAGATGAGGAGACTGAGGTTTGGAGGAGGAATGTGACTTGCCCAAAGTCACACAGCTCGTTAAGTGATGGGCCTGGATGGGAGCAGAGATCTGAGGCCAGAGCCCACATCCTTGCATCTTTCCTGCTACATCACACTGCTTCTTTGAGCCTTCTCACAGCTCCCTGAAATACCCAGGCCCCCATCCTCTGCTCCCCACCATGTCCCCAACACCCATAGCAAAAGTAAAATTTGTGTTAATGTGCTGATTCTTAAGATCTGTGAGCTCCAGGATCCCAGACTCAGTGACACATAAGCCACACAAAGAGCACTGAGTCTTTGAGGAGCAGTGTCCTTGGGTCACCCGAGCCCCAGCCCCACTGATGTAAACCCTCACCTGGGCCTGAATGGAGTTAACAGAGTCCTCCGCTTTGCCCCAGACTGTGGGGTGGGGGTTGTACTCTCTTCCCTGCTGGGGGTTAATCCTCTTGCAGATAATTCCCCAGACGGCCCTGCTGCAGCGTCTACAACTATTATTTGCTCTCCCCTCTAGAAGAAATTGCGGGGAGAGGGTACTGGAATTGTGGGGGAAGGTGCTGTGGCATTCGTGACAAGCAGTTTGATGGCTTGGGGTTGCTCCAGTCTGCTCCAGGCAGAGGTGGTACCTTGGAGCACAGGGCCTTCCCTAGGCACCCACAGATAGACACCCCCTCCTCCTGCGAGCTGACAATCTCAGAGAGGGGAGGGCTGTGGTCCTGCAGAGTCTGCAGGAGATGGTGTGGGGGTCGGCAAGAACCCCCTTCTCCCACTCGAGCAACCGGAAAGCCCCCGAGGGACTCATCCCCTTTCCCACAGCGGACCGGGGTCTGGCCTGCATACGCAAAGAGTGGGGTGCTTTCCTCTTTCAGTCAGAATTAATTTTAATTCTAGCCCTGCCACTATTTCCAGATCAAACCTGGGGCATGTTCCTTACTTTCTCTGATCTTCAATGTTCTTGTGTGTGAAAAATGGGAATATTGAAAGCAGAATTTTAGCAGGGACTTTTTGGGGGAAGACAGTGACAATTAAATAAGATAGTGATTATTAAAGCCCCAAGTATGTGACTTGGGTATGGCTGTGTTGAGTCACCATAAAACAGTCAGCTCCACTTGTTTACTCAAGCCTCCCCTAACATGAGGCTAGGTCTTCCGCAAGTTCACATAGCATTGGGGTACACCTACATGTGTGTGCATGCGTGTGTGTGTGCGTGTGTGTATGAGAGAGAGACCCACGTGCAGAAAACAGAATACATGGACAAGAGGCCTCCTCAACTCTAGTGCCTCATTGGCTGAGGAGGGGGTTTCAGCTGAAAAGACTGATGGGAGTCCCCATTGCACAGCTCCAGACCAGCCAATGGCAGCAGCCCACAAGGGTCCCCATGTCCCTGCTCCGGCCTTACCTCGTTGTTGACAAAGCAGTACAAGATGGCCACCATCAGGCCCTGGAAACAAGAGTCACATCATCAGGGAGGAAGCGGGAAGGAGGTGTCCTGCAGGCAGGGCCTAGCCTGAAGCTCCTTGGGCCTCCAGCCCCAACATCCCCCTCCTCAGATTGGGCAGCCCAGACAGACCAAGAGATGGGGCTGCTGGGTTCCTTCTCCTTTCCTTCTGGAGGAACAAGCCCTTCGCTCAGATACCATGGAAGCTCTTCAACCACCCTCTCCTTGAGGAGGCCTGACTCGAGAAAGTACACTGCCTCTGACTGGGGGGCATTTTCCCTGCCCCAGCCCCATTTGTTCACTCAACAGACCCAATGCTCCAGAACCGTGATCTATGTATGAGTGTGTGCACATGTGTGTAAGTGCACATGCGTGGGCTAAGATGCTCATGGCCATCCCACAAGCCTCCTGAGGGGCTGGACCAGTTTCTTATATTTCTACATCCCCAATGACACTCACACCCCCTCAGCATCATCTAACACTAGTGGAGAGGATGAAGTCTTGGCTTTGGAAACTACGTGACTTGGCAAATCTTGTTTTAACATCTCTGAGCCTCAGTTTCCTCCTCTGTAAAATTGGGATAATCCTGCACACCTGCAATTCTGTGAGGATTAAATGCACGATGTGTGTAAGGCACCTGGCAGGGTGCCTGCCACCCAGGAGCAGCCCAATAGATGGCAGATGTGATGCCAGGCTGGGTGCCCACAGCTACATCCGGTAAGACTTCTTGTCCAATATGCTTATAGAGAAGATTGGCCTGGACGTTGGGACACCCAGGGCTTCTAGCTCTGGCTCTGCTGCAACTACGTAACTTTGGGCGAGAGCCACTTTGCCCCCAGGCCTCAGGCAGCGCATCTGCATGGTCTCTGCCCCAACCCTCCCCGGGACTTCACAAGTGAAGGCTGTACAGTCACCTGGAAGGAGGTGAAGGAGAGCTCTGTGAACAGCTTGATGAAGCGCAGTGTCCCCCGGGCATGCTCGTCTATCACGAAGGCAAAGATGATCTCATGGGTCCCCAGCAGCGGGATGAGTGTCAGTGTGGACTTGGCAAGTCTGGGGGGTGAGGGAGAGACATCATTCTGAACCCATCCCATGGATTCTTCTCCCCTTTCTGTGTCACCAGCCCCCACGAAGTCCTGGCCTCTGGGTCACGGACACCATTCCACCCAAATACCCTGGGACAGGCTGCTTGGAAGGGAGGAAATAGAGGTCAAGTCCCCTCAGAAGCCCCGGAGCTGTCCAGGTACAGAGGTGAGGGCAGGCTTGGGGCCCGAGGCCAGGCTGGGTGGGAGAAGAAGGCCACATGGGGTTTCAAGCTCAGCACCCCAGGATCTCTGTCTCTGCTGGAAAGAAGGGCCGAGGGAGCCCAGCAAAAGCAGCCCAGTTACATCACCTGCACTTGATGTCCGTCTTGCACATAAGATTAGCTTTCAGTTTGGACACCACAATGCAGATAACCCGGACAAAGATGAGGAAGTTCACCTGCAGGGCAGATGGGCAGGTGGCTGGAGGCCCTCTCAAGACACCTACTCTCCCCCACTCCTTCCCCTGGCACCACCCCAGGCCCACCATAACTCCCACTCCCACCCCCACACCGTCACTCACTCCAATGGCAAAGAGAATGGGCAGCCGGATAATGAGCCAGTAATTCATGTTTGAGTTCCTGGTCCAGCAGCTAGAGAGGGGAGAGACACACACAGGCACCCCGTTGGACACACAGAGACCCCAGCCCACAGTGCAGGCACAGGAGCACACAGTATACATGGGCGTGCAAAGTGACACACAGAGCCACACAAGCACCACCACCAGGGGCTACCCGACAACCAATCCCACAGACCCATGAAGAGCCCTTCAAGCCACACACGCACGCGCGCGCGCACACACACACACACAGTCCTAAATACACAGTCACACACAGAGAGATATGCACGTCCCCTTCATGAACCTATGAAAGTGGTCATGTATGTACTCAGCATCATACACCAAATAACAGAAACATTTCACTGACAGTTATTACAGAAAAACCTGCAGGGGGTCCCCACGTACCCCACAGACTGAGCACCATTTGTCATCACACAATCCCAGGGAGAGGAAGGGAGGGTGTAGAAGAGAACTAAATTCATAACTTAAGCTCCTCGTCCCTCAGTTTATCGTCCCAACAGGTAGAACCGCATGCCCCTGGAGCCAAAGAACCCCATGGGGTTTGAGGATGGGGACCTCAGCACACCCACTCTTTGAAGCAGGACACTCACCCCTCATCCTCATAGAGGTACTTGACAATGCCCCAGGGGATAACAAACAGCAGGGGAACACCTAAGAGGAGAGAGGGAAAGAGAGAGAGGGCAGAGGGGCTGGCAGGCCAGAGCCACCACCATGCATACCCAGAGGCCTCTCCTTACCCTGGGCCTCTCCCACCTCCAGTCCTTCTCCTTGCCTGGCCCCAAACCACACTTTCTAGCAGGTAAGGAACTAGGCTGGTCTGGGTGCCTGGGAGAACAGAGGTGGCAGGAACCAACCCTCCCCCACACCCAACTCCCCTGACAATTCCTTAGAGAGAGGCCCTACCACATTGTGGCTGTGTTACACCCTCAGCAGTTTTCCCCCTCACATGGGCCAAACATACTGTCAGGGCTTGCTGCCAGGGCCCTGGTTGAGACACAAGGATGCCCACACCCAAGTAGCAGAGGGACAGGGCCATGGAGTAGGGAAGACATGCTGGATGAGGTGGGAACAGGCCAACTCTGATGCCCTTCTCCCTCCCACTCCCCCACCTGAGCCCACATGCCCATCTCAGTCAACTCCTTCAGGCACTGGAAGCCCCTCTAGTCATCTGTTCCCTCCCCACATGCACCTGCAGGTGGCTGTGCAGAAGCCTGGAGTAGAGATAGGAGCTCTATCCTTGATGCCAACAGCCCAACCAACTGTGCACGGTGGCCCACAATAACAACAGCTACAACACCACTTTCCACTTGGCTGAGACTTGATTGGTGTATTAGGCAGTTTCTAGTATGGTCCCCAACTATCCTGACCTCCTGGTCACACCCTGGTGTACTCCATATTGTATCAGGATTGGTCTGTGTGACTGATAATGGATGGCAGAAGAGATGGCATGTCACTCCTGAGATTAGGTTATAAAAGACTGTCTTAAAAGGTTATAAAAGCCTGGTTTTGGGCTCTCTCTCAATCTGATCACTCACTCTTAATCCGAGTGTTTTTGGAAGTGGATTCTCCAACCCCAGCTAAGCCTTGAGATGACAGCAACCCTGGCCAACAGCTTGACTGCATCTCTGTTAGAGATTCTGAGCCAGAGGCACACAGCTAACCAGATTCCTGACCATAGAGACTGAGAGATAATAATTGTTGCTTTAAGCAGCTCAGTTGTGGGGTCATTTGTTACACAGCAATAGGTAACTAATACAACAGGTTTCCAGTTCCTTGAGGGTACAGCCTCATTCATCTTCAGAGCCTCAGTGCTCAGCTCACCCTAAGAACTCAACATGTGTTTGCTGACTTAAAATTAGATTGTCCATCCTCACATGACAGATGCAGATGGATCAGGAGCTTAGGAGGGTACAGGTGGGACTAGAATGCAGGGCACACACCCACACCAACCACCCTCAACGGCTTTCTGCACCAACTCTCTCCATGCCTGTGTCTATCAACGTCTTCCTCAGGGTTGGAGATGTGGGTGCCTGAGATAGGTAAGGGTGTGCATCCTAAGATGCATGGACACAGATGTGTGTGTGTGTCGGGGGGGGTCCATGCATATGCATGGGTGGTTTTGGGGTGTCTCCCCCAGGAAGGAGCTCATTTCCAGGGCAGAACCCACTTCATACCCTTCCTGTCCCCAGCATCCATATCCTCAACACAGAGATGTCCACTCAACAGCAGCTACTGAGCAGCTCGAAGGTCTGGCTGGTGGATGGAGGAAGGGGTGGAGGAAGCAGAGAAGCTCAGAGCTGACCAGCATTCTTCATCAGATCGATCTCTCCTTGGCCATTTATTTTCACACAAACCAGACCTCTCAGCATCCATGATGCTTTAGTAACAGGCCTTCGTGAGACTGGACAAGGGATAAATGGCCTCCAAAGGCCCTAGCACATAGCACATAGCACAGAGCCTGCCACACAGAAGATGCTCAGTGAGAATGGAATGAATGAATGAATGAATGACGAGTGAGTCAATATATCAATGAGAGACGTGAAGCTCTCCAGGAAAGACAGCGCCAATTTCCTGAGCCATACATGTACAGAAACCTCCTTCTTGGGCTTCCCCAGCCACTTGCTGTCCTTTCTCTCTGAGACCCCATTCCAGGATTAGGGAGCTCACTCACGTTATCAGCCAGACCTGGTGACTTCATTCAATCACCAGCATCTTCTTAACAAAGCCTTTTTAAAAATGCAGGCACAGCTCTGCCACATGCAAACATTACACACTCCCTGCTGGCTTCATCTTTCTCTCATTTAGAAAATTAACAAGACAGGCTGGAGAACAAAGCTCGAATTAAGACACACAGAACTGGCTCCAAGAAGTAATGATACCCTTGTCCATCACTTGCCTCCCTCCTGTGCAGCCTCCTTGTGGTGGCTTATGGGGGCAACCAGCCACCCACGGACTACAGCAGAAGCTGACGTGCCTTTTGGGGACTCCCCCAACTGTGTTGGAGTCCTAGGTTTTAATTCTTCTGCTTGCACAAGAAGCTAAAAGTTGTTTCTCAAGCATCCCAACTTGGGCTAGGCCTCCTGGTATCACAACAGAGCTCTTGGCTCTCTGTGAATCTCTCTCTCTGTCCTTCGGACTTTGTCCCTCTGTCTCTCTCTGTATCTCCCCACCCCAGTTCCTCAAGAGGATGTTCTGATTGGGAAGGGAGGTCCCACAGGTCCTGCCCTCGTGCCCCCTCAGACTCTGAGCCCTGAGCTGGGGCATGACGTGGTGGAAAAGGACTGGCACCTCCCCCATTTCCTACTCAGAGACCTCCAGGGCACCATACATCCCCACTAACCCTCCACCAACCACCCCCGCTCCTCTGCACACATCACACCCTCCCTTTGATTGTTCCTGCCCTCGGGTCGCCATGGTGACAGGCACTAACAGTGCTGATGCTATTTCCCAGAATGGACAGACACAGTCCCCCAGCCTGAGGACAGCCTTCCCAGAACTCCCCTTGATGGTCTAACCTTGCCCCCACCCCTAGTTAGCTGTAGGGCTCTCCAGCTGCCCACTGCCTGTTTGATTGCCCTAGCAGGATGAAGAGGCCTGGGAGGGAAGGAAGGCCAAGCAGGGAGGGGCTAGACCCGGGGGGAGGAAGCGGAAGGGTGAAAGCAGGGAGCTGTGTGCAGAGGTCAGGTCCACCTGTGTAGGAGCCTGAGCTTACTCAGCTGGGCCCTCAGGGGACCAAAGAGATGCAATGCAGGCCAGAGAATTTTGCACGATGGCAGCAGAGCCCAGGAGTCAGGAGGGCTGGTTCCAGTGCCTGCTCTGCCTGTAAGGCCCTGCCCTGCCCTAAGACACAGATCACATTTAAGGTCCCTTTAGAGCTACTCTTCTACAATGGGGCTATACAGAACCAAGTGGCCGAGGAACACCAGCAAAAATGAATGAAGTGCAAGGACAGCGGGCAGGGAGGCTGAGAGGGCCCACGAGAGCAGACAGCCAGGGCCTGCTGGGCAACCTGGACCGGGAACAGCCTTGTAAAGGCTCAGAGGCAGGAGCCAGTATGGGAGGGGGACATCGAGGGAAGATCGTGGCTATGACTGAAGCGAGAAGTCCTGGGAGGTCAAGGGGCAGCAGTGGTCAGAGCAGCCTGAGGCAGGCGAACCAGGGAATGAGAGGAATCAATGAATGAATGGCAAGCTCAAGGTGGAGGGCAGGGTCCTGTGGTGTGTGGCAGGGACACCAGCAGATTAGGGAGGACCAGAGGGCAGGGCCTGTTCTCCGGCTCCGTCCCAGGTGGGTGCCTGAGGGCCCCTCCAGAGTAAGCACTGTGGTACTTGTTTCCCGCTAGTGGGGTGGGGAGGTGGCTGCTGCTGGCGGGCGTCCCAGCCTCTGCCCCATCCCACCCCTGTTCTCCTCGGAATCCCACATGGCGAGAGGCAGAAGCACAACCAGAAATGTTCCAGCAAAAAAAAAGACACAATGGTTCTCGGCAACCTTTTTTGGCTAGAACATTTCCAGCTGGGCTCCAGGCACATCCTCGGTCCACCTTTTCCTCAGCTGGCTTCCGGCGGACCCACTCTGCCTTACTCGGCTCTCCTCTGAGCCCTCCTCTTCACCATGATGTGACAGAGCCATAGCCCCTCAGCCCCTCACTCCCAGGGACCCCCACTCTGAGGCCCAGGACACTCTATTGCCCTCAGGGCCTGGGCTGTCCAGGACTGAGTGTGGGGCTGTATTCCCAAAGGGGTATTTGAGGACAGTTCCATGACTGCCAGTGGTGTGTGTGGTGTTTTTGGCCAGATAGGGTGGGGGGGCCTCTGCTTCCATTAAGGACAAAGCGTTGTACAAAGTGGGGAGGGTAATCATAACCCCCTGCAGTGCCTTGACAGCCCCATCATAAGTGAGTCCTGAGACCAGGAGGGAGTTATTCAGTGGGCCTGCCCCTTGGCCAAGAGGTGGTTCTGAGTAACAAGTTGGCCTCTTGGGGATAGAGTGATGGCAGCAGTTCAAAGAGGGGTCATGGTCTCCCACTGCCCCCATGCCACAGGTGGAGGAGGGGGAGGGGGAGATGAATGACAGCAGACCTTACCCCAGCCTATGCTCAGATAGAGCCTGAAGATGCGCTGCTCGGAGAAAGCTGAGAAGGCCAGCAGCGTGTACAGGTACACACCCTCCACCAGGAGCCAGTAGTAATTGGCCGCTACGCAGTACTGCATGAGCAGGAACACCAGGCGGCAGCCCAGAGAGTTCTGGGGGCAGAGGAAAGGTCCCCAGGGGACAAGAGCTCTGCCCCCTGCCTCTTTTGACCTCCCTCCCCCTCCTGCCCCAGCTGCTATCCTGCCTTGGTGAATGCAGAATGAGAGAGCTAACACCTTCTGGCCAGGGCTAGTGCTAAGAACTTGACCCGCTTTAGCTCATTGAATCCTCACTATCCTGGGTAGAAGAAACTAATATTATCCCATACAGGTGAGAAAACTGAGGCTCAGAGAAGTTAAATGACTTGCCCAAAACTAGACAGCTACTAAGGGACAGAGCTGGGATTCAAACCCAGGTCTGTCTCCAAAGACCACTCCTCTGTGTCAGGCTGACAACTCCCTAAGGGCAGGAGCAGTGTCTCCCTCCTTAGACTAGGGGTTCCCCAGGGTAGACTGCCTCTCCCATCAGACTGGAGCTCCTCATAGTGGACTGCTTCTACCATCAGACTGGGGGCTCCCCAGGGTGGAGTGCCTCTCCCATCAGACTGCATGTTTCCCCAGGGTAGACTGTCTCTCCCATCAGACTGGAGGCTCCCTGAGGACCAGGCCTGGGCAGTTCTTGCTTTTCTTTGTGCCAGGCCTGGGTGGGGTGGGGGAGGCTGGCCTTCACTGACCATCCATCCCTCCTCCAGCCCTTCCTAGACACACACACACCTGGTAGGAGAGGAGCCCATCCCACTGGTGCTGCTGGGGGGCCGTGTTGTACATCCACTTGAGGACCGCATCCTTGATGAAGACGGACAGTGCTCGGAGGATGAAGGATGCAAACAGGTTCAGGTGGATGTAGTTCCGGGTGCAGTGCAGGTGTCTGTGGGAGAAAGCAGGGCCCTTCCCTGGCAAGATGGCCAATAGTTCTGCATTGCAAACCCCGGCTCTCAAGCTAACACACACCTTGGGCGTGTTTCTGGCTCTGGGACTGTGCTCCTGTCTTCCCTCCTCTGAGAATGCCCTTCTTCCTTATAACCTTGAAAATCCTCCAGGTCCAACTCAAGTTCTGCCTCTCCATGAAGCCTTCAGCTGTGCAGTCACTGCCACACCCGCCCCATCCTCCATCCACACTCTATCCTTCTCTCTAAGGCATCTTCTTTTCTACAAAGTCATGTGTAACCCAAGTGGTTTATGGGTGAAGACCACTTTCCCCAGTGGAGACTTTGCTTTGCTTCTTGATGACAGGGCCCACGTCTTGTGTGCCTCTGGGCTGCCTTACAGAGGCAGACTGGGGCTAAGCACACCGTAGGAATTCAAGAAGTATTGGATACAATCTCAATATCCTCTCATGTAAAAAGGCATAGGAAACTGGAAATACAAGGACATTTTTTAACCTAATAAACGCTATCTACCCAAACTGGGAGCAAACATCATTCTTTTTTTTTTTTAATGGTTGACTTATAAGCTCTCTTTTTTCCTTTTTTTTGGTGAGAAAGACTGGCCCTGAGTTAACATCTGCTGCCAATCTTCCTCTTCTTTTTTTTTCTCTCCCCAAAGCCCCACTACATAGTTGTATATCCTAATTGTAAGCCATTCTAGTTCTTCTATGTGGGACACTGCCACAGCATGGCTTGATGAGTGGTGAGTAGGTCTGCATCCAAGATCTGAACTGGTGAACCCTGGGCCACCAAAGCAGAGCATGTGAACTTCACCATTCAGCCTGGGGCTGGCCCCCTCAAACAGCATTCTTAACTGAGAAACTTTAAAAGCATTCCCTTTAAAATTAGGAACAAAATAAGGATCATCTAGCCTTAAGAAGCTATCATCATTCCATTCAACATTGCACTATAGATCCTAGCCACTGTAATAAGGCAAGAAACAAATGTATAAGAATTGGAAATAAACAAAATTATCATTTGTGGATGATGGATTATCTTCTTAGAAAATCCAAGAGAAGTGACACACACAAATTATTAGAATTAATAAGAGAGTTCAGCAAGGTTGTTGATGTATACATACACATCAGCAATAAACAATTAAAAAGTAAATTTAAAAATTCATTTATAATATTTTTAATTGGCTACCTAGAAATAAGTTTAACAGAAGATAGGCAAGATCTCCATGGAGAATACCATGAAATTTGCTTACGCTCATTAGAGAAGACAAATTAAGGGAAGACACACCACACTCATGTATAGGAAAACTAGCTTAACGGTGTCAGCTCTCCCCACATCGATTGACACACTGAATATGGCTATCACAAAAATTCCAGCAGTGTTGTTGTTGCTGTTTGTCATGCAACTTTTAAAACTTATAAAGCAGAGCCAAGGGCCAAGAATAGTCCAGACACTCCTAAAGAACCCAAATGGGCCTGCCATAAAAGAACCAAGATTTTAAATAAAGCTATAGTAGTTAAGGCACCATGTATTGGCAAAGGGACAGATAAATAGACCAATAGGCAAGAATATAGAGGACAGAAACCAACCCAGGCATAGGTGACCCTTGCTGCATGGCAGTGTTGGCTCTGCAAACTGAGGAGGAAAGGACAGGCTATCAGTAAATGGCCCTGAAGCAATTAACTATATGTATACATGAAAAACGAAATTAAACTTTTTCTTTTCACCATAGACGAAAATAAATTCCAGGTGCATCAAAGAACCACGAGGAATGAGCAAAACTGATGACCCTAGATTAAAGAAAAAGTTCTTAAACAAGACTGTAAAGAAATTTGGTCTTTGGAAAAGAAAATTGATAAATTTCTTTTCAATTGATAAAATTAATTTTTATCAGTTGAAAATATTTATTGATGAATTTTATCAATAAAAACACATAAATTAATATATTTGATTCCACTAAAATTAAGGCCTTCTGTGGATAAAAGTCACCATAAAGTGAGTGAAAAAAACCCTGCAGACTAAGAGAGGATATATCCTGGATTAGTATCCAGAGTATATAATGAATGCCTAAAATAACAAAGAAAGAGCCAAATAAAAAGCAAGCAAAGGATGTGAACAAGCAAGTCACAGAACAAAACATAAAAAAAAAAAAAGCTTAATCTCTCTAGGAATCAATATATGCAAATTATAATCATAATGAGATATTTCACACACTTCACATTAGTTAACAGTTAGATCTGAAAATACTAAATATTGCTGAGGATGGTAAGCGAAGGGAACTCTAATTTATTACTGGTGACAGAGGAAACTGGTATGACCACTTTGGAGAGCAACTCAACACCTAATAAATTTGCAAAAGCACGGGGTATTCAGACTAGGTGATTCCGCTAGGAGGTTATTCGCCCCTGGGGAAATGCACAAGGGGTCATAGGTAAGAACATTCATTGTAGTAAGGTTAATAATTCAAAAAAGAAAGACCTCAAATGTCTATTAAAAGCTTAACAAATAAACTGTGATATATCATACAATGGAGTAGAGTGACAGTTAAACAAATGAAACAGAAACACCTGTATCAACGTGACTGAATTTCACAAAAATGTAATGTTGGGCCAAAAATAACATTGCAGAAGATGTACAACATGCCATGAAAAATTTGCAAAACTTATGCTATATATTTTTGCAGATACTTACAAATGTGGTAAAAGTACAGAAAGATGTGTGGGAATTATAAGCGGCCCCCGCAGGGGTTCCCTCTGGTTGGGGGGAGCAGGAAGGGTTAGCCCAGGAAACATAACTGTGTGATAGGCTTCAGTCCTTGGGCTGGATGGTGTGTGCACAGGTGCTCATAGTATCAGCCAGTGTATTTTTGGATCTCTGAAATACTTCATAATATAAGGGGAGAGTATTCACTGAGTGAATGCATTTATTGAGCATTAACTGTGTGCCCAGCACTGACTGTGTGCGCCAGGTGCCATGGGGACAGGAGGAATGCTGCCTCTCCTGTTCCTGCTGGCTGGTGTCCTGCATTCCCATCCTTGAATCCGGCCCCCCTGGGCCTCGTCCACCAAGTGCAGAGGGAGTAGGAAGAACCTGGTACTCTGGAAGGAATGGCCAGTCTAGGTTAGATGCAGGGAAGAACTTTTCCATGGGGGCTGACAAGCTCTATAGAGAGCAGAATCTCTAAACCCCTGAGATCTCGTCTAAAATCATACTGACCTTCTGGTTATTTAAGTTACACTGCTCACCGGAGAGGATTTCTCCTAATCCTACCATCCACTGGTAAGGTTTGGGGTGTGTGCTTTGTGTGTGTGTGGTGTTTGTTTTTCCCTTTTTGCAGTATGATATGCACGCATCCACATAGTAGAGATTAGACTAAGTATACAGTCTTGTATCCTGTGTTTCCGACCTCATAATCTCTGGTATGGGCTCTCTGGAGATCTCTTAAGAGAAGAACCTGCAGCACTGTTGCCTCGGTTTGGGGTCCCCCTCCTCCATTTGGGAACACAGCAGGGAGTTAGGACGAAGCAGCCCCCTCCCACGCCCCGGGCCCCCTTACCTGAAGCCGAGGAGGATGGCAGAGGCGATGACCAGAGCGGAGAAGGAAAGCGCATAGCCCACCGTGTAGATGAAGTAAAGGGAGAGGAGCTGCTTCTCCGGGAAGCTCTGTGTGCACACGGGGGATACAGTGTACGTGGGGCAGCCCACATCCTTCTTCCCCATGGGATGGCAACGGAGCTGGGGCCCCAAGTCAGGCCCCACTGGGGACCCCGGAACACAAGAAAAAGAATAACCCATAGCAATGGTCCTGGGATTTCTAGAGCTCTGTTCCAAGGCCAGAAAGGTGAAGACATACCACCTTTGTCCAGAAAGCATGGTGTGCAAAGCCCCCAGAGGCAGGGGAACGGACAAGATGGACAGACCAGCCCACCAGATGCCCAGGGTCCCTGTTCCAATGAAGATGGGACCCTGCAACCCCCCCGCTGCTCAAAGCCCCCATCTTCAACTCACTCTCTCCCCTCCCTTGGAGTCATCACATTCAGACAGGTTCCTCCAGGGTAGGCTGGAGTTGTCCACATGCAGCCAGAGGCCATCAGCTGTGCAGAACCGGTACACGTGTCCCTGCAGCACTGGGGTGGAGAGACGCAGGAGCTGAGCCTCGAGCCAACACCACACGCCCCTCATTCCTCTCCACCCTGGGGGTCACACCTGCTCCCCTAGAAGTGACCCCTCGGAGTTAGCAACACCTCTTCCCCTCTATACACACACACAAACACACACACACCCTTCTTCCTCTGCCATATGCCTGTTTGATCTAGGGACAAGAAGGGGTCACAAAGGTGAAGGCCACCCAGCCACACCCTCAGCCTTCCCTCTCAGCCACCCTGGGATGCAGTTTGATGAATCCATGCCTTTGAGATGAGACCACTCTAGCCCATTTCCATGTCCCTGCCTGAAGCCTCAAATCACACTACTGACATGTTCTGGCATGGAGCAGCAGTGGTTCTAATAACCCCACAGCCACCCCTGCAACTTCTGAGTCTCAGGACTCAGCACCCACCTCCCTCCAATACTCCTCCAGCAGAGCAGACTCTGAGAACAAAGTAGCATAGAGCTCCTGAGAGAAAGGAAGGGACATAGCCCTGCCCTCAGGGAGCCCCAGTCTGAGCGGAGACACAGCTCAGCCCTCAGGGAGCCCCAGTCTGAGGGCAGACACAGCCCCGCCCTTAAGAAGTCCTAACCTGATGAAGGAGACACAAGTGATTTAAAAGTCGAAGGTAGAGACACAGACTTTGGAGACCCGCCATTCAAAAGGGAGGAAGACCCAGCTCCTCCCTTCAGGTAGCTCCAAGTAGTTGGAGATGGAGACTGCACTTGGAGACCTCTCAGTCTGAGAGGGGGCAAGGATCCAGCCCCTGTCCTCAGAGAGCTCTAGTCTGAAGAAAGAAGGAGATACAGTCCCGAGCTTCAGGGAATCAAGACTCTCACAGAGAGAAAAACAAAAAATTGCTCAGAAAGGAAGAGCATAAATGCAAACCAAGAGAGATCAAACACAGACACAGCAGCCCCAGGGGTGGGAAGTCTCCCTGTGCCCATTCACATCAGCTCTGGGCATCTGGGCACCAGGCAGTCCTCCTGCCATGCCTCACTGTCCACCTTCCCCGAGAGGTGCATGACTGTGGCTCCAGGTTTGCTGTGAGGCCACAAGATGGGATAAGGGGCCTACTTGCATCTGAGAGGAAATGCCTCATTACCTCTCTGCAGGAGAACGTAAGTCTGACGGCAGGGTCAGGAAACCCGGGACAAAAAGGGAGGGAGATTTAGCACAGCGGGATCAAGGAGAGAAACTGGAACCAAGGATGAATTGTAAAAGATTTTATAATTCTAAAAGATTAAAAGATTTTAAAGACCAGCTTCCCCAGCTGGGGGAGGAAGGCACAGTGTGAGGGAGGAAGAGAGAATGGAGAAGCCACTGAGGCTCTAGTTGGCAGTGGCTGGTCAGAAGTTTCCAGGTGGAGAGGTAGCAGTAAGAACCTTGCTGGGGAGAGGCTCATTAACACGTGTGTGTGACAGCATTGCTAGCCCCAAGGCTTACCCAGTAAGAGCGCAGGAGAGACGCAGCCATCTGCCATGGGGCTCTGTTTTACAGCTCACTAACTATGCATTGACCACTGCTGTCACATGCAGGGAGGACTTTACTTCAAGATCTGGTGACAGCCCTCTTCCCACACTGTCAGGCACCTGCAGGGCCTGTGGTGGGACCTTTGCCCTTCCTTAACTCTGACCCAGCGCTTCTCCTTTCTCCGCCTCCCTTTCAGAAACAAACCCCGAACTTGGTCCCTCTTCAGGAGACAAAACTGTCTGGTAATACAGTGGGGTAAGTCAGCTCAAAGCATCACTGCTTCTAGAAGAAACTGCATTTTAAGAGACTTTATCTTGTAGAGAAGCAAAAACCTGAAAATGTAATGGCAGGACTTCCGGCAGTGAGAAGAGCCGCATCCCAGTAGCTCCCTGATGCATTTATGAACGAAATCAGGCAAAGGACAAAGAGAGAGAAGGAGAGGGATGTGGTTGATACCGGCTCAACACAAGGTTGACATAAGGGAAGCCATACTGTAGAAAAGAAACCATATTGTAACTTTGAATGACCTCTGATTAACTAACCCAGACATGCTCTGTAGATTTTATGGCCCCTCCCAGCTGCTATAAGTTGACAACTTTGTTCTTTGAGTTCCATAGGAATGCGATGACCCCCGGGCAGAGTCTATGCTAATAGGCATCATCAATGACAACTGAAAGATCAGGGTACAGGGCATTGCTTTGGTCTCTGATGCATATCCAGTAAAACGAAAGACTACCAGGAACTAAGACCAGATGTCTGCCCCCATGGAGATCAGATGCCTCCCCGACCCAGAGACCAGCCCCATATATAAAACTGGCCTGCAGTCTTTGTTCTGTAAGATGGTTTTTTTGGACATCAGTCAGCCATCTTCCCCCTTGCTAGCAAGCTGTAATAAATAACCCTTTCTCTCCTATCACCTTCCTCTCAACTATTGGCATGTCTTGCAGTGCAGACAACCCCGCCACCTTGGACGGTGACATGGTCTAATTTTAGCAACCTGAGGGGCTCATCTCAGGCCCCCGGATGCCCCTTTTATCTGCTGTGTGTATGCCTGGAATTCTTCAGCAGGGGTCTGATATGAGGCCAAACCAGTCTCCAGCGGTAGATAACCCCAGAGCAATAATGGGGATCTGGGCTGACTTCATGGGGAGTGAGACTGATGCCAGAACCTTTTCTGGGAGTCTGTTTTGATGAGAGGAAGCTGACAGAAAAGAGGAGGCAGATGGGCCCAGGAAGGGAGAGGACAAGGCAATGGGACACAAACGTTCGAACTGCCCATTTACCCAGGACTCAGCCAGCAGGTGTATGACTCGAATAATACCCACTTGCCACAGCTGGCATAGGGCCTGGCATACAGTAGGCACTCACAATTGCTGGTTCCCTCCCTACACATACCCCTTACACACCTCTCTGCAGGCCATACATTCAGAATCTGTTTTTGAACACCTGCTGTATGCCTGACACCTTTGAACATCACAACCACTTTACAAGGTAGGCAAGGTTAATCCCATTTTACAGATGAAGAAACTGAGCCTCTGAGAGGCCAAGTGACTTGCCCAAGATCATCCAGCCAGGAAGTAGCAAAGTCAGGATTCAAACCTCCAGCTGTTTGCCTCCAGAGGCTAAACGTCAGAAGCCAAATTTGCTGCTAACAGTCAACAATGGCCACGTACCATTTCTCCTCTGCCCTTCTTCTGGGCCTGGATTTGCTAACATTTAGTGTCCTCCCAGCAGGTCCTCTTGCCAGTACAGACCCCTGGCAGCCTGCACCGTTCCAAGGCCCTCTGTTTAGGATCAGCTGGGAGGCTGAGGGGTGGGGGAGCTGTGTGCACAGACGTGTGTGTTACTGCCCTAGTGTCGAGGGATCACTGTGTGCCTGAAAAGCTCAGGGAGCCTATGTGAGTGTGTCTGCCAATTATCTTCATTAGCAGCCAATATTAAAAGCCAGGGCTGGTTCCTGGCTGGGCCTGTGGTCCCCAGACACCCATCTTTGCTGCAGGTGGGGTGGGTCTGGGCACAGTCCTGCATATCAGCCCAGCTTTATCTGGCCCAGAAGCTGCTGATAAATCACAGCCAGGGGCTTGGCTCTGCTCTTGTCAACACTAGGAGGCAGCCGGCCTCATGCCAGGAGGCCCAGGGATATTTCATTAAGTCAGGCCCTGTGCTGGAAATAAAACCCCCAATTAAACACCTCCCCTCCTGGAAACTGCAGCGGCGTCTGTAATCAAGCTAACAGCCGCCCTTCCACGTGGACGCGGGCACTCAGGGCTGTGGAGAGCTGCTCATGAATCCATTAGCTCCTGCACCCTGGCAACCACAGCAGCCAGGGAGGACTACTGGGCCCCCGTGGTACAGACCAGGAAGCTGGGGTTCAGAGAGGGAGTCACAGGTCCTCCTCAAAGTAGTAGAAAGAGGGTCAAAGGCAGGGGCCCAACTGAAGGCATCAGCTTGGGGTGGGGGTGAGGGGTAGAGCCTCACATCATGACGTAGCAGAAGGAGCTGAGGGTCGGAACTAGACAGACTCAAGTTCAAATCCTGATTCTGCCCTCAATCTGCTATGGGACCTTAGGCAGACCTCCCCAGGTCTCAGTCTCTTCATCTGTAAAATGGGAACAATATGACTTCCCAGGTCTACGGTGTGAGGATTAGGAAAAAAAGCATGTGCAGCGCCTGGTGCATAGTAGGCCTTCAAACTACGGTCACAATGGAAGCCCTGCTGCTGCCCCACCCCAGTTTCTCGAAAAGGCACTCTTTCCCTGAGGCTGTGGCTGGAGCTGAGGACACCACCTCAGCCAGAAGTCCTCCGGGGCCACGCGCGGGCCTCCATCTCCCTTTGGCAACCCCGGCCTGCTGTGAAAGCTCCCGGCTCAACATTACTCAAGGGAGGCACCTGTCAGAGTTTCCAAGAATTGTGAGTTATGGGCTATTTTAAAAGCATTTTATGACTCTCATATAATTAGAACTAAGCTAACAAAACAGGTAGAGACCAGGAGGGGGTGCAGCTAATGAGACCGGAATGATTTGTAGCGAGCAGATCAGCTGTTTGTGGGTAAACCAGCCTGCTGGAGGGCCCTCAGGCGGCAGCCGGCTCTCTGAAGCCTCTCCAGCCTTCAGGTTTACAGAGAATCTTGTTGACACGAGGCATCTCCTTTGAAAACCTGCCTTCCTGGACTCATCTGCTCCTGCCCTCTCTGCGCAAGCTGGAGTCCCAAATTCTGCATGAGAGGGGTCTGAATTTGAGGGCTCGGCTGGCTTCCCTGGGACATTGTGTAGCTCTGAGGCCTGGCCCGTCTCCAAGGGGTTGCCTGCATGTCCTCCCTCCCTGGAGGACCCTCCCTCCCCCCTCTCCATCTGCCTGTTCTTTCAGGCCTGGCCTCGATGTCACCTCTCTCCAAAAGCCTTCCTGATGCCACACCCCGGGCAGAAGAGGTGGCTCTGACTTCCCTTAGCACCACTTTTGGAGCCACTGAGCTGACCTCTTCAGCCCCGTGGTGAGGGGACACCCCTTCAGCACAACACACATACACTCACACACCCCTAAGGTCTCATTGGCATCCCTGGCTCCTGACACAGACCTCACTCAGTGCCCTCTTACTGTGGGAAACAATTCTTTCTCTGGTCGCTCATTCCTCTGCCCTGCTCTGCACCCAGAAGGCTGCCCTGGGGACAGCATCACCTGGGCTCCCTGCCCTCTCCTGCATTTGGCCAATGGGAGGCACAGGAAGAAAGTAGGAGGGTGGAAGGAGAGAGAGGCTGGGGTATTTCTCCCTTGCTCCCTTCCTGCCTTGATTCTGAGGTTCTGGCAGTTGGCTTTGCCTCTCTGTGGCCACAGCTGCTGAGTAGCCTCTCTGTCACCATGACCTCCAGCTCTCCTGGGGGCCCCATAGCCCCTTTCCTGCTCCACGCAGGTCTAGGGATGCTAAAGCTTCCCACTGCTGTGCTCCTTGGTACTTTACATGCCTTACTGGCCCCTTAAGCTGCCCAGCCTCTGTAAGTGGCCTCTCCATTAAAATCTCTTCCAATTCCCAGCTGGGTGTGTTTTCTGCCAGGACCCTGCCTGAGACACCCTGCTTCCTTCTCCCCACCCCTAATTCACACTATGAAGTTTCTCCACAGGCTACTCCCTTGATCAACCCAAGAAAGCTCCAGAACTCCAGAAGAAAGTTCCTGCTCCCACTTGTGCTGGGTGAGGGTCAGAGAAGCCCCCAGTGCCAGCCTTTGGCAAGGGGACAATCAGGACAGGCCAGAGACAGCAATTATGCTATGGGATCCTGCGGTGGGTGACTCTGTGGGTCCCTAGCTCACAGAGAGCGGGGAGGGAGGCAGAGTCGGTGATTCCAGGTATCAAAAAGGAGTGAATTAGCCTGGTGAGTCGGGAGAGGGGAGCGGAGGCTGGCAGGGGGCCTGTGCAGTGGCCGTTATCTTCATAGAGAAAGCAATAAAACTGTGTTCGCTCATAAACGGGCACCACCAGGACCTATTTCCTGCTCAAATAAAATTAAAGGTGATGGATGGAGCCGTGAGCAGCAGGCAGAGCTGGGGGCGGCTTGGTGCTGAGTGATGGGCCCTGTCCTGCGCCCGGCTCCCTGGGGTCTAGAGGCCCAGCCCAGGCTGGCCAAGCGGCCAGTCCCAAACCTTTGGGAGGCAGAGAAAGTATGTGTACTGCAAGAGGTGGAGGAGGTATGTAGGGTGGTTGGAAAAAATTAACAGCTACCATTTTTCAAGGACCTGCAACCCTCCCAACACCCCCATCACCTGGTGTTACCCCATCTCCACGGGATAAAGCATGCTGAGGCAGAGAGGGAACTTGCTCATCACACAGCCACTCAGAACATCGGCAAACAGAACCATTAGATTGTAAGGCTCAACTTTTTCGTCTATAGGGAGAGGGCAGGCAGCTCACTGCCCTCCCAAGGGGTGTGCCCAGCCAGCAGAGGCCCAGGCCACTCACCTGTCTCCGCGCCCAGGGCCACACACAGGTGCTCCCACACACACACGCACACGCACACTTAAGGAAGTCCAATATAGCAATTAAACACACTGACTAAAGCAGACCCTGGAAGGATTCCTGGGTCTGCTACTTACTACATGTGTGAGCTTGGAAAAGGCACTTAGCATCTCAGTGCCCCAGTCTCCTTCTCTGCAAAATGGGAGGACAATGAAAGTCCTTGTCCCACAGGATTGTTGGGAAGATTGATTGAGGGGACGCATGTAAAGTGTTTTACAGTGGGCCACAGAAGTGCCATGTGAGGGGCCACTAATCCCCCATGTGTCTTACCCAGGTGCCCGCCTCTTTCCAGGGCCGGGCTCTCCCTGCGCACCTTGGAGAGAGGCGGGCGTATTGGGAGAGCGGAGGAGAGAGTGTCCTGAGGAGTCCTGTCTGCTCCCGCCAGGACCTGCCAGGGGCCTTGATGTTCCCCTCAGGGGCCGCCTCCTCCAGGAAGACTGCTGGCTTCCCATAGTACGACCTCACTCTCTCACTTGCTTCTGGGCTGGTTTCTGCTTGGTCTCAGGCCCCTTCAAGGCAGAGTGGTCAAGAGCTTGTGTTCAAACCCTGGCTCTGCCATTTACCACGTTATCTGGAGTGAGTGAGAAACTTTCTGGGGCCTCAGTTTCTTCATTTGTCTAAAAAGCATATCCATGGGGCAGTTGTAAAGATTAAATGAAAACCCTGCCTTTAGGGAAGGACTTAGCACAGAGTAGGTATGCACTATACATGAGTTGTTATTATTATTATAAGAGAGTGTCTTTTTTTCTCTTATTGAGACTGTGAGCTCCTAGAGGCTAAGGTGCAGGTCTCCTGTGAGCCTGGGATAGATGGGGGGTAGTGGGGGGGGCGGGGGCGACGCCTTAACTACCCACACAGTCAGATCTCCCCCTGCAACCTCTGTAGGTCTCTTACTCCAATGACCTTCTCACTTACCCAGTCATACCCTTCCCAGCGCCGGGTGTCCCCTGCAGGCAGAAGTGAGCTGGGGAGGGCCTGAGGGACAACCCCACCAATGCCCTGATCACTGTTCCCATCTGGGCTCATCTGATCAGTGAACCCCTAAAGAGTCAGGAGGTGGCTAGGTGCAGCCACAAACTAATGTTGTACATACATACATCATACATTCACACATCACGCACACACGTCATACATAAATACATACATCATACACATACATCAGAGTAATGATGCTCTGGGTAACCCCCCCCCCCCAACCCCCAGGATCTGGCTACTTTCCTGATTACTGGATGGGAGGGGGGCTCACATTTCTCTCTTAAGTCAGACCTCACCTCCCCCGCATCTGCCAGCACAGGCCTCAGACCCAGTTACACCGATACCCCCGACTCCCCTTCCATAATAAAAGACAGGCAGACTGCCCATTAGGAGGCCTAAGGACCTTCTGGGATGGAGAGGGCTGTGTCTCAGGGAAAGATAGCAGTGCCCTGCTACTCCACACCCCGCCCCAGGCCTCCTGGATACGGAGCGGAAGGGTGGTCTGTGGAGTGGGGAGGGGACTCACCGTTACTGGCCCAGGGCAGGTACCAGGGGCAGCTGACGTTCACGAGGGAGCCCGGCAGCCCGTCTGGCCAGCAGGCATACTCGTCGAAGGTCCGGTTGCAGAACAGGCCTGGTGCAGGGGGAACAGTCTCTGAGTCCTGGCCTGGCCATGGCACTTCCCCTCCCCTCCGCACTCCAGGGCTGGCAGGGCAGAAGCCTCAGCCGTGTGCTTCCTATGTGCCAAGCACTTTCCCTACCCGGCAGGTACCAAGCAAGGGGACTCGGCCACTTATCAGCAGTGGGACCTTCAGCAAGTTACTGTCTCTGTTTCCTCACCTGTAAAATGGGGTGATCCCAAACCCACAGGGCTTTGTGGGGGTAAACAGTGTATGTGATGTACATTCCTGAGCTTAGTAAGTGTATGCTCCGCACACGATCCCTAGAGGCCTAGTCTTAAGTTAGACATCGCAGATGCAGGGGAAATGGAGCTCACGAGGCTGAAGGAACCTTACTGATGTCACTGTGTTATGATTGCAGGGCCAGGACTTGAACTCAGGCCTATCTGGCTCCAATCCTGTGCTCTTTAAACAACCCCACAAACTCCCCCAAAACATTTATTCCTGTAAATACGTTGGTTGGGGCTCCAGCCCCTGCACAGGCTGGAAAGTGCTCAGGAAGATGGAGAATGGAAAGCCCAGGTCCCTGCTTCTGAGGGGCCCAGCTGGGGACGAGCGGGAATAAGGCCACAATGAGACAGCACCCCAAGGCTGACTGCAGAGCCAATGGGCAAGAGCCAAAGACCACCTCATTCCTTGGGGAAGATTTACAGAGGAGGTGGTACTCCCGCTGGACTTTGAAGATCCTGCGAATTTTCAGTAGTTGGAAAGGGGGCAGGAAGGCATTTGGGTGAAGGAACAGAATGGACAAAGGGATGGAAGCATAGGACTGATGTGGCATCCTAGAGGGACAAATGATGCCCAACCTTGGGGCCCTTCAAAGCCTCCAGGAGGTGGTTGGGTGAGGGCCCCACCTGGACTCACCTGTGGCTGGGGGTGGAGTCTCCGTCAGGAAGCGCTGGCACTGGCGTCGGTATTCCCACCATTTCTGCAGTGTCTCTGAGAAGGACACAGTGGCACCCTGGAAGGAGGGCAGAAATGAGGGCCCCGTGGGTCCAGCCAGTCCCTTGTCTACCCACGTCCCTCTACCTTTTGGTTTCTTGATCTCCAGGGGATCTCAGATCCCCAAACTCCACCAGGCACTGGCCATCTCTGACAGTGGGAGAGAACAGCTCAGCACCACAGCGGGGCTCCAGGTGGATGTTTTGATGTCTTTATCCCTCCCAGGGGACCAGTGCACAGCTTGATGTCTAGTAAGTGCCCAGCAAATGTCTACTGAATGGATGCTGTCGGGGGTGAGTGGGGGAGGGGGGAGGGGAGAGTGTGTATCTCATTCAGGTGTCATCTGGCCTCACCTAGAAGAGAGAGTTCCTGAGGGCCCACTGGCTTCATTATTGCCACGTGTTCCTTTCCAGTGCCCAGTCAGCCTGCCTATGAGGCTGTCGCACTTCCTCAACTAGAAGGGGACATGCAGGCCCAGAGTGGAAGAGGGACTCAGTCAAGGTCCCACAGCACGCCAAGGAGCAGAGCTAAGGCTAGGACCCAGAGTCCCCCAGATCAGTGCCTGTGATGGAGCATTGGAGGGCCTGGGGCGTGGTGGGATTCAGCGCCACAGAACCTGGTAATACTACGCCATTAGCATCCCCCCAGCAAAATGCAAGCATGTTACCTGGGAGACTACACAACCCCCAAGTGTCCCCTTCCAACATAAAACTCAGATCAAATGTTCAGCTCAGCTTCTATCAACTGGAGAAGGAGGAGTCCTGAGGACATGGGGTGAAGGGGTCAGGAAAGTTCCAGAACATGGAGATCAGGCCTGCGATGGGAGGGGTCCCCCATCTGTGAGTAGGGAGAGATGAACCTCAATTTTCAGGTAAGGTAACAGAACTGGCTTTTTAGCACAGAGACCCAAACAGACCCACTCGAGTGAGAATTGTCCCTTCCGAACATTTTTGTGTACATCCTTTAGATATGTCTTGGGACTAGGTTTCTTTTTATTTGTACTTTTTCCTGAATAGGCCAAAGAGTATAAATATTCCTCATTTAGAGGCTGCAGATGCTGGAATGACCAGGGAGCTCCTTGTATAAAATTTACGGCCTATACATAATTTAAAACAAAATTTCACTTTCTGAAGTCACAAAACTACATGTGTGCTGAAATTAAAATAGCTTCATTTTGGAAGCTTGCACCTTTGACGGCAGTGCCCTGAGCACACGCTGGATCTGGTTTCTGGGTAATCCTGCCCTGGTTTAAGCTGAGTCCTGGTTTATAAGACATGTCCCATAAAGACACGGGTTGTCATGTGCTCATCCCCGGCTGCAGAGGAAGCCCCAGGGAGGGGACCAAGTTTGCCTGAGCCCCAGCCACATTGTTGGAGTAGGTGTGCTGAGGCTGCAGGTGGGCCTACCTGAAGGACTGAGCTTTTCCGCAAAGGTCAAGTGTATTTGTTTAAAAGATGAATAAATAAATAAAAGAAGAAGGAATCAACCACAACGACAGCAAAAGCAGTGCCATGAGTTTAGTTACAACTGAGTGCTCGGCACAGGTCTTACTAGAGCTGGTCCTGGGGGACCCCACCCTTTTTCCTTCTCCTCCCTGCCCCTAAAAGCAGCAACTGCTGGTGGTAGGAGGGTGGAGGGACCAGGCAGAAAGGCCCATTGATCTTTTTCTAGGAGGAGAGCAGGCAGGAAGCAAGGTCGCTGCTGGGAACAGGACCAAGCAGAAGGTGTGTTTGGGGTGGGGAGTGGTGACAAGAAAGCCCATGGAAACCAGAAGTCTCAAGGTGGGGGTTGGGGTGGGGTTAAAGGCTAAGGACACCACCAGGAAGCCAGCCTGGCCACCAACTCCTCAGAGAGCTTCAAGACAAAGGCAGCCCTGTCACCTGCCCTGAGGACCCTCAAACACAAAACTATCTTCAGACCGGGGCTCCCTGAAGACGGGGCCGTGTCTCTCTCAGATGGGGGCTCCCTGAGGACAGGCTGTGTCTCCTTCAGACTGGGGCTCCCTGAGGGAGGCGCTGTGTCTCCCCTTACATAGAGAGCTTCCTGACAATAGGGGTCCTCTGCCTTCTTCCTGCACCAGTGCAGGGTCTCCCATATGTGCTCATCCTCACAGCAACACACACAGCACAAACTAGTCACACCTCTGATCTCCCCCGACCTGGTGTTTATGGAAGCCACGCCTTGTGCCAGGCTCTGGGTGCTCAGGGGGTTTGGGTGGACATAGGAAACCCAACGATAAAGGACAGAGCCCTGGCCTGAAAGAGTCCCTAGACTACTTGGGGGTGAGGTGGAGTCAAACGCTTTGCAGGACCTAACAGAGAAGGCCGTGGGTGAAAGTGCTCGGCGCAGGGCTCAGCGTCAATGCAAAGCAGGAGGACCCTGCAGACTGAGCTCCGGTGAAGTGGGAGTTGGGGGTGCCAAGACTGTACTGGCAAGGTTGGAGGGTGGGCATTTCAGCAGGAAGGCCCAGCAGGGACAAAGGTGCAGAGGTGGGGACAGTCATCCTCCGGCAAGCAGAGGAAAGCCTTGAGCTGATGTCCAGGAGGACTTTCTGGCCCAGGGAGAGAGCACAACCTGGGACAGATGTGAGGCTCCAGTCTGGGACAAGGCTGGGACCCACCCAGTGCAACGGTGCCCCGGTGACACAGGGGAGGGTGAACAGCCCTGGCTTTAGGCTCAGATCAGGGCCTGATCCTGGCTCCCCCATAAAGTTTGTGATGTTGTAGAAGCATTTTAACCCCTAGCCTCAGCCTACACATGTTGCCAAATGGGAATAATAAGAGTCCCGACCCCTCCAGGATTGTTGTGAGGATTAAGTGAGTTAATGCTTAGGACGGCCCCTGGCACGTGGAAAACGCACAGACACTGGCAGCGGTTCTCAGGATTTCTGCTGGCAGAGTGGACCACCACTGGGCAGCCTGGCTTCCTGGGGAATCTGGGCCCCTCCCCTCTCACACTTCTAGGATCAACAAAGTCCCAGAAGGAGGAAATGAACATATTTTCATACCCAAGGACCAATCATTCTGCTCAATTGGTGACATCTTCCAGCAGCAACCAGAGCCAGTGGCAAAGCCAAGAGGGGACACTCGGGACTCCATGCCCATGGGCAGGGAACTGTGAGGAGGGGCAGGGCCCTGTCCACCAACCCCCGCCCCATTTCATCCTCCTGTGACATTTCTCCCTGAAGCAAGCCTGGAGAGGTGGAGCCGGGGGTGCTGGGTGGTGGAGAGGACACAGTGGTGATGCCCCTGCCCCTCACAGGGCAGCAGAGCTGGCCCAGAGAACAGGGCAGCTGCAGGGGGCCTGAGGGACCAGGGTGAGGGCAAGCTGGCAGGTTTGAGAATCGGGACTTGCCAGGCTTCATGGGAGCTTTCTGAGTGGGATGAAGGCAAATGGGGACAACACCCAGGGTGGAGCTTACAATAAGGAGGGGGCAGACTCAGGAGTCTGGGGAGGAAGCAGGAGGTGAGAAAGAGGATGCCAGGAGAGAGTGGTGTGCAGGAGAGAGAGCACTGGACAGAGAGTCACAAGTCCTTGGTTTAAATGCCAGTTCTGTCTGGTCCTGTGGGACCGATGGGACACACTGTAATCTTTTGGGGTATCAGCTTCCTCATCTGTAAAATAGGCATATCATCCTTCTCAAAGAGTTACTGTACAGATCCAGCAAGATAAAGCAGGTGAAAATCTTCACGAATCATCAAGCCCTGCACAAGTGGGCAGTATTAAAAGGAGAACGACATAGAGTGGTCGGTCTCAAGACCTTGGCCTCTCTGGCCCACTGAGGTGGGAAAAACTGAAAAGGGCATCCCCAAAGGAGAAAGAGGGCTCCAGGACAACTCCCGGGACCCCCCAGCCTGGAGCAGCCCCTCACCTTCCCCAGCAGCTCCTCCCAGGACCACTAGCCTCCTCCCCCTCTGCCCTCTTCCCAGAGCTCAAAGCATCCCAGCTGGCCCCGGAGCCCTGCAGGGGTGGGGCAGCCCGATCCCTGGCTCTTTGACTCCTTTTTTTCTCTTAAGGGCTTTAAATATCTGAGCAGAAGGGCAGGGCAAGGAAAACAGTACACACATGCCCACATGCATAAGAATGCTCACACGGATACACTGTCACACACAGTATCACACACACCATCCAGGACATTCTTACATACTGACACACTGACACAGAGCGTCTCTCTCACATGCACAAACACACAGACTGTCAGGCACGGACTCACATGCTGAGACATTGCCCCTCGATGCGCACATCACACTCGGACCCCTTGACTGACATATATGCAGCTCACACTGTCATACACACACGTACAGAGAAAGAGCCACATGTTCTGTCACAAGCACACTCTGTCTCACCCACACACGGACACATACTGGCAGACATCTGTTCACACACTAAGGTGTCTCACACACACACACATGGATCTTTCCATAGACACACTATCTCACACGGGGGCACAAACACATATACACTGTCAGACACACAACTACATGCTGAGATGTTTCACACAAATGACTCCCACACAGGCAGACTGTCACACACAGTGTCATGTACAAATACAGAGAAACAGGGGCTCGTAGAGGCCCCCGCCATCCCCCCAGGTCTGTCTCTCTCTTCCTGTCTCTGTCTCTATCTCTGCATCTCTGTATCTCTCCATCACACACACAGAGAGGAATCTGTCCAGGGGCAGGCTGCAGCTAAGGAAGAGCCTATTTTTCCTCAGCACCAGTCATCCGAGGGCAGCCTTGGATGGGGTTTCTTGGTTGCTCCTGCCCCGGCCCCCACCCGGGGTCCATGTCCAGGAGGGAGCCCAGCTCACGACGAAGTACACGCCGATGGCTACACACCTGGCCTCCAGCCACCCTTCCCGAGAGTGCGGAGGCACGGGGCGACCAACGACCCCTCTCCGAGCCCTGTTCTGCAGCCTGGAGAAGGCTTCCAGATTCCCCAGTGACTAAAGCTGCCGCTTCAGGGTGCCAGTGTCTCAGTCCTCTCCAAAACCCCACGTGGTAGAGCTTGTGATCCCTGTTTACAGATGAGGAAACTGAGGCTTGGGATGGTCTTGGGTGTCCTACCCAAGATCACCAGCTAATAGCAGAACTGATACTTGAACCCAGCTATGTCTTGTTCTAAACTGAGGTGTCAAAGGCTTGTCTCCTCGGTAGACAGCTCCCTCACAGGATTCTTGGGGAGGTAGGGAAGAGGGGAGGGGATGGTCCTTCCCAGCAACAATGAAACCTAGGTCCCCTTCTTCAGAGGTCAGTTCAGCCATCTCCTTGCCTGCAGAGAAGTGGCTTCCAGCCTGGCCAGACCTGCTGGAGGACAGCTCACTCTGTGCTCTTCCTTCAGTCCCTCTGGGTAAGCGGGTATTGGGCACCAGCCCAGCCCTGAGCCCCTTTCTCCTCTCTGTTCCTGAAATGCTGGGTGACCTTACACAGAGAACTCTCTTTTTCAGAGCTTTTGTCCTCCTATCAATGACATGGAGGGAGTAACTCTAGTCTTGCAACCTCATGAACAGAAAGTAGAATGCAAAATCCACCATTTTTTAGAGTCTTATATACGGACACAAGTTGTGTCACAATTATTGCAGTCTAACCTCAAAGGCCCTGTTGCTCAGGTCTCTGCGGCAGCCAGGGATGCTCAGGGCCCCCCAACAAGAGCATCGCCCAAAGCTCCACCCTCCCTGCTCACAGTCTGTCTCCTCCTGCTGCCCTGCTCTCCCACCCCAGGCCTGTTATGGCCCCAGGACATTCAGCTGTTGCCTCAGACCCAGGCTAAGAAATAAGGGGGATCGAAGAAAGGGCAGGTTCAAGACACCCAACACCTCTGGGAGAGAGAACTCTGGGGAGAAGATGGGCAGCTTCCAGAACCTTTCTACTTCCCCTTCCTCTCTTCCCTTAATCCAAATGGGGTCTGCAAACTTGACCTGGAGCAGGATGGGACCAGGGAGCAGAGCCTTCCACCCCCACCCCATCCCAGCCTGGAGGAGGTAAAGGTGACAGAGAAGCACATAATGGGTCTGCAGTCCTGGCTCCTGAAAGATCCCAACCACACCAGGGAGGCAGAGGCCTGGCTGGGGTGTTGGGGGAAGGTGCCATGGCAGGGAGGGTGTGCCCTGGGGCTAGGGGGCAGTAGCTGGACTGAGGGACAAGGAGAGGGAGAGAATGAGTCCAGAAAAGAATTTAGGGGCTGAAACTGGGCTAGCACCTTAGCTGGGAGGCACATCTGTCCATATCTGGGTTCTCAGCCAGGGGTAAAGTGGGCCCTCAACAAGCCCCTCAACCTGCTGCCTGGGACAAATTTCAAGGCCTGCACAGGCCCACTGCCCAAAGCTCTTGGTTCTTTAGGTCTGGGGGTAGGAGTGGGAGGCAATGGGCGGACACGATTCCCTGACACAGGACAGTCCACCCCAGCCTGTGCCTCCTCTCTGCTCAAGCATCTCACAGCATCTTTGGACAATCGCCCTCTCCAAAACATGCCAACCACAGCCCCCAGCCTGCGAGCCTGGGGCAGGAAAGACAGGAGGACCACAGTGAGGGCTGCAGGGGTCCACCTGCAGTCAGTTCTCTGAGGGCGCCAAGGTGGCCAGGCTGCCCCTGTGTGTCCCAGTACACACCCTGGTATGTGTTGTCAACCTGGGGGGGTCGGATTGGGGGGTCAGGTGAGAGTGTGTGAGGGGGGCCTGGCTGCTTCTAGAGGAGCAGGGAGCCTCCTGCATGTTTGCTGCAGGGGCTGGGGGGAGGCGGGCACTCAAGTTCCATCTGGGAGGTCACAAGGAAGGACAACAAGCTGCCACCGCAGGGTCTCTAGGGTTATGACTCAAAGGCTGTGCTGGGGGGCTTGGGAGCGGGGAATGGAGCTGGGTGTCCACCCCCCGGCCCTCTTCGCCCTCCCAGAACCTTCTCAGGGTCTTTGACCAAGAGGGCGGGTTGAGGGGGTTGGCACTGCGGGGAAGGGGTCCGGGCGCAGTGGGAGAGGTGAGGTCGGGGAGGGGGCGAGTCGCGGGCTGTCCCGGGGCCGCAGACCCAGCTATCGGAGGAGAAGGAGTTGGGAAAGTGGTCTGGGGAGAGAGCTGCGGCGCACAAGTCCGCGCACGGTGGCCGCGGGGCAGCCGATGCCCGGGAGTGGGGCCCCGGCGGCGGGGAAGCGGGCGCCTCGCCGGGGCCGGGAGAGTGGTCCGCCGTCCAAGCCCCCAGCTCGGCCACCCAGCCCAGGGCGCCCAACTCTCCAGTCCTTACTCCCCCGAGGCTTTCGGTTCCCTCCGCCTGAGGCCGTGGAGTTTCGCTCAAGTCCCGGCCGCCCCTGCCAGGACCCTGCGCCCGCCGCCCGCCGCGCCCCCTGCATCCCCCTTCCCCGGGGTCCGCGGGTCTCACCTGGGGACGGGGGCCGGCCCTGCCCACCGCCCCGAGCAGCAGGAGCGCCAGGCGGAGCGGGCCGGGGGCGCCGGCCATGGCGGGGCGCTCAGCACTGGGCCATCGCTGCCACCTGCGGAACCGCGCGCGGCGACGAATCCCGGGCCGGTGGCGGGCGCCGGGCGCCGGGGGAGGAGCCGGCGCGGGGCCGCCCCGCCCGCGGGAGGGGCCGGGCGGGGTCCCGGGTCTTCCGCCCCGGCCGTCGGAGGCCGCCGGGCCGCCCCGCCGCGCCCTCAGCCCGTCCCGGGCCGGGAGGTGCCGGGCCCCGCGCTCCGGGCGGGCGCCGCGCGGGCTCAGGAAGCGCAGGAGCCGGGCCGACCGCTCTGAGCGCCGCCGGGGCGCTTGGCCCGCCCCCACCCCCACCCCCACCCCCGCACCCCAAACCTCCTCCCAGGTTCCCCCGGCCGAGGAAAGCCAATCCACTGCCACCTACTCAGGGTAATCCGAAGGAAACTGAGGCTGGAGGAGCGCACAGGACTCGTCCAAGGTCATACTGCCCGTTAGACCCCTCCCGGAGAGTGTAACCCCAAGAGCTGCGAGTGTAGTAAGAAAGATCCACCCGGCAGGGTTACCCCCTCCCCAAGTCCTCTCCTCCTTCCTGGGCTCCGTCCCGAAGGCAGCCCTGGGACAGCCAAGGTTGGGGGCAGGAGTGGGGAGACAATGACAAATGAATCAGTGGAGCCCAGAGCCGGGGAGGGTCTAGAGGTTGCCCCACTGCGGCAGCCCCCGCGGCCCTTGCTCTGAATCACTGGGCTCTTAGAACCCATGTGTCCTTGTGATGACGTGTGCCCAAGCTGTTCCCTGTGCTTCCTGGATCTTTGTCTCCCTACTTTGTGGGCACTCTGTATCTTACCTGCCTTTGTATCCACTCCCACCTGCAAACAGTGTGGGGCAGGGGATGCCAGGCCACCCTCAGGTTCCCTTTCTGCACCCTGGCTGTGGCAGAGAGTGCCAAGAGGCCACTGACTTTATCTTCCCTAATGCCCTTGAGGAGTGGGGGTGGGAAAAGGGGATTACTCGCCCATCACAGAACTTAGATGTCACAGTTGGGAAGGGGGGCAGCAACCATTCAGCCCTGGATCCCCCAAGGGGCATGTCTGGACCATTCTAAAGAGAAGGGAGTCTGTGAGAGCAGCTGTTCCTCAGGGAGAGAACAACACTTCTCAAAGCCCCAAGGAAGGTTGAGGAGGGGCAGTGAGAAGGTGGAAGGAGATAGCCAGTGGGAGGACTACCTGGGAGTCATTTATTCCCTCCCCTGCCCAGACATCAGTCTGTAGTCACCTTCCCTGTGCCACTGGGGATTAGCTTGTTCAGCTGCTTGTGACAGAAACCCCAAATAACAATGGCATAACCGAGGGCTCTCTCCTGTGAAGCAAGGCCAAAGGTTCAGCCCAGGGCTACAGCGGTAGCTCCCTGATCATTAGGATCCCGGTTCTTCTAACATCCACCATTCTCATGGCCCAAGCCTTCCACCGAATGATCCAAGGTGGCTGCTTCAGATGGGGCCATGATATCCAAATTCCAGCCAGCAGGAAGGAGGAAAAGGAAGAAGATGGGTGTACCATCACCACCAGGACACATCCTGAAAGTGGCAGTTGTCAGTTCCACACCCATTGGTCAGAACTTCAACATTTGGGCGCTTGCCTCTAGCTGTAAAGGAGGCTGAGGAAAGTACCCTTTATTCCAGGCAGTCACTGGCAAGGTTAAATGTTAGGGCTTTTATTACTCTAGAAGGCGGCAAAATATGTGGATATAGATACAGATATAGAGAAACAACTTGCAGGCTCTGCTATACAAGGTTTGGGGGCTGGGGAGAGGTGGAGAGGAGAGAACAGGATAAGAGGCTAGAGAAAGTATTCAGACAGAACTGGGACTTTCCCATGAATTTATCAACCTCCAGATTACATTTATTCAATACATATCTATTGAACACCTGCCTGTGCTGGACACCGAACTAGGTCCTGGGAATAAAGTGGTGATGTTGTCCCTGTCCTCAGGAAGATTGTTTTCTAATGCAGGAGAGAGACATTAAACAAACAATTATTGGAGCCATTGACATTACAATTACAATCCTGATGAGCACTGTTGTGATAAGCAGATGCTGTTGAAGTCACGCCCTCAGTAATTAAAAGACTACTTTCTCTCTGCCAGGGCTGTCTCTGACCAGGAGGAGACTTTTACGTCCAGCCAGGGCAGGGGAGGCACCCCTAGGAGCAACTCTCAAGCATAGATGGACAGGAGTGGATGGATAAATACCCCAGCTCCTCACTCCCTGTGTCAGACAACTCAGAGGTGTGGACCAGTGTCCCAGAGGTCCCACTGCAATGGAGCCCCAGCCTTCCACAGTGGTAACCTGCTCAATAATGCTCCCAGTGTTGGCTTCCTCCCCTGGCCTGTCTCACTTGCCAACAGTAGGGGACTAGTGCCTCCTGGGGGCACCTCTCAAATAAAGATAAACTACTTGTCCTTAAATCTTTGCCTCAGGGTCTGCTTCTGGGAGAGCCCAGCTGAAGTCTGAGCATATGAAAGTATCCAGGGACAGAGGCCGGCCTCCTGAGCCCAGACACATTTGGGTAGCAGATTATTCAACCTCTCCTTTTAACACCTTGGGGTCCAAGCCTCTGAGTTTGCTGTGACGCTACCTCTCATCTCAGCATGTACAGCCCTGGGTCATGGCTGTTTCCTTCTCTTTAGGCCAAGGCTCCAAGAGGGCCAGCGCACCATATTTCAGCCCTGGCCCCCTAAGTGCCCACTGTTCGCAAACCCTCCTGGTTCAGCCTCTGGGTATGATGGATGATACTGGGCGCTGTATCATCCTGCACCTGACACAGGTGCTTCCCTGGATGTTGCTTCCGTGGATGTGCCTGCAGGGGCTGGGAGTGGGAGGTTTTGTCTCCCCAACTGGGAAGGTAAATACTTTTCAGAGTAGGTCCAAGGTCTGATTCCCTTCTTTTTTTTTAAACTTCACTTCTCTCTTTCCCTCCTTATCCAGTGTGCTCGAGGATTAGCTTTCTCAAACCCTTATCTGACCTTGTCCCTGAGCCCATCTGTTGGTTCCCCATCACCCAATCCTCAAAACTCGTTAGCATCTAAGGAGTCTGCTTGGGCTGCCCCCAGCTTACCTCCCAACTAGACCTCTTGCAAGTTCTTCCTCCCACCTCTTGGCTTTTGCACACTCAGTCCCCTCTGTCTGAAGTGTCCTCACCCACCTTGCTTGCCTGAGCTTCTACTCATACTTCAGGACCCAGCTCAGGCAGGCCCCTCTCTAAGAAACCTCTCATCACCCCTTCCCCTGAACACCCCTTCAAGGCAGCGTGGGTGCTCTTGTCAGCAGCAAGAGCCCTGGAAGGCTCCCGGAAACCTGCTTCTCCTCCAGGATTTCCCAACCTCTGCCCACCGCCAGAGCCTCAGTGAAGGAGTCACCCCCACCTGCAAGCTTTCCATGGTCTTCCCCACCAATTCCTCAGGTCCCTGGTCCCTCGTGCTTATGGCCATTTGGGCACTTTGGAGTCTTCTTGAATGTTTGCTGGTGAGTTTCTCGGTTTCCCCATGGCCTCTGAGCCCCGTGAGGGCAGGGGTCTTGTTTTACTCATCTCTGCACCCACAGCACCCAGCGCAGTGCTCAGGACATACTAGGTGGTCAGTGACTCTTGTTTAAAATAACAATTGGAATGAACTGAAGCATTTACCGTGTTCTGTCACCGTCTTTATTATGACATTCCCGCATTAGACTGTGAGCTCCCTGAGGGAAGCGATGTGTCCTTGTTCATCTCTGGATATCCAGCATCAGCACAGGCCCAGTACATGGTGCTCAGTAATGTTAGTTGCAATTGAAATACATCAATCCAAGTGTCCAGGGAAGTGTCTGGAGTGTTGAAGGTGCTCGAAAACTTAAGAGAAGAAGGATGAGCTGGGAGAGGACAGTCTGTGTACTGGGGTGCACAGCCCTCCCTCCCACGCTGTGAGCAGGGCCCCTCGCTCAGGCCCTGCTATGGTCTGAATGTTTGTATCCCCCCACTGCCACCAAATTCATATGTTGAAATCCTAACCCCTAAGGTGAGGATATTTAGACATGGGGCCTTTGGGAGGTGATTAGGTCATGATCACAGAGCCCTCATAAACGGCAGTGGTGCCCTTAGAAGAGAGGTCCGGAGAACTCCCTCCCCCGCTTCACCATGTGAGGCCGCAGAGAGAAAATGGCCACAAATGAACTAGGAAGCAGGCTCTCACCAGACACCAAATCTATTGGTGCCGTGATCTTGGACTTCCAGCCTCCAGAAGCGTGAGAAATAAATGTTTGCTGTTTATAAGCCACCAAGTCTATGATATTTTGTTATGGCAGCTCAAATGGACTAAGACAGGCCCCCTAGAACAGAGGGCAGGATGAGCTCCCTAAGAACGGAGATTTGAATGGATGGAGTACCATTTGCTAAACTAATAATAACCGTGAACGAAAGCAGTAGCTGCTACTTATTGACTCCCACTCTGAGCTGGGTGCTGCTGAGTGCTTAGTGGGCCCTGATCTCCTCAAGTGTTATGAGCAAGTACCGTTATACCCATTTTATAGCTGAGGAGACTGAGGCTCAGGGATGAAAAGTGAGTTGCTCAAAGAGCAATGCTGGTATTCATCTCAGGTCCACTTGCCCTCCTGATGAGCAGCTGGATCAGTGGCAGTGCCGAGGGCGCAGGCTTCAGCTCTGCTAGCCTGTCTCGGGAGCACCTCTGCTGTGGCTCTTTCCTCCACAACCCAGAGCCCTGGGTCCTGCTCCCTGCCCTCATGCCCGAAGATTCTCCTGTGGCCCTAAAGTGGGGTACCCTCAGCTTCCACTAAGAAAACTTGGTTTTCAGATCATCTTCAGAAATGGGAATGATGTGTGCATCTGAGGAAAAGATACTGCAAGTGCCTGTCCCTGTGGAGACAGATCTGAGAGCAGGTCCCTTCCCTTCCCCCCCCCCCGCCCCCCCCCCCCCCCCCCCCGCTTTGTCCCTGCCTGGGGGAAACCCTCTCCTTAGTAGGAAGACCTGGCTAGTGGGCAGGATAGAATCTTTCACTTGCGGGAAGGGGGAGAAGG